AGCCTAGCCATAGAGGGACCGTATCAAAGACGTAGATAACTACCTGAATAAATGATCGAAAACTTTCGAGACGTTCCGAGAATTTTATTCCGACTTCCGGCCGAGCGATATCGAGTGGCCCATAGACACATCCAAAACTCGCCAATATATAAGCGTGAACCCCTCAGGGGGTTCACGCAATAAAACTGTAGACAAACAGTTAAATAATCTAAATGTATTGTCCAAACTGTTTAAGGAAGATATTCCTTCAGAATCCTCTGATTGATTATTGACGAAGCACAAGTTAGAATTTTAGAACATTCATAGAGAACTAAAACTCCAGAGAAACTTACAGCATTTAAATATGAATATCGTAGTTGTTTTCCAGTAAATGATAGATCCAAAAGCTGTTTACAAGTTCTTACATTGGATGACTTATAAGAACCAATGATAAGAACTATTTATGGTACAAATAGTGTTAAGTTATGGGATAAACACAAGTAATTGTTTACACAACCATTAAAATAGATAGAAAGGTTAACTTAGCTTATCAAGGGCAGGTGTCTTCACGTATGGGTATTATATCAGTGTTGTATATGCAACAAGCGTTAGCAACTTTATTAAAGAAGGTTGAAAATGATTGTTACTGATGAAATTTGTCAAATGGTTAAAGATTTATTTGCCATCTCAACAAAGTCTCTTCCTCTTGATCAGATAGGACGCACAGGTACGTTTAACCATATGATACGCAGGAAAGCTGCATCGACTGAGTCTGGTTTAAATAATTTTAAGATATACAGGCCAAGGTTTTGTATTTACCTCTTTCTAATGAGGGTGTATTTGGTAACGGTTTGGAAGACAAACATGAGAAGCGTAAAGAGCAACGTGAGCAAATGGACGACCTTTTACCAGAATATAAAAACAATAATAAGAGAAAGTTTGATTCTAGTCATGTACGTCAAGATTGACAAAATAAAGCTATTACAAAGATATAATAGTTCTAATAAAAACAATGCTGGTTCAGCTGACAACAAACGCTCAGGGTTTAGTTATAATAAATCTTCTGTGAGATCTGCTTCTAGGAAGTTTCAGAGCAGTAAAACTGATGACTATGGGGAAAAAAGAAAGTAAAGAAATCAGGTGGAAATTGGAATTCTTTTCGGATCCCCCCAAAAAAAATAGCTGACTCAGAATTGAAGGTTATAATTTATCAGAATCAGTCCCAGATACCAGTTGGTGATCGTGTGAGATTTTTTCTGGAAAATTGGGAAAAAAAAACAGACGATCAGGGTCTTGTCAGTAATAACAGAGGGTTACAAACTAGATTTACTAGAAATGCCGTTTTGGACAGGCATACGGAAAACCTCTATGCCATTAAAAGACTCGGATATTGTAATCTAAGAAATAAATACTCTTATAGAAAAAGACACTATAGAACCTGCATGTTCACCAGCAAGATGCAGCAACAGGTTTCTACGGTACATTTTTCCTAGCCCCACAAAAAGAGCGGGACAATGAGACCAGTAACAAATCTCAGACCCCTCAACAGGTATTTCAAGAAAATACATTTCCAAATAGAGAATCTCACAAAAGTATTAAACTAAGTAAAAATGGGAGACTGGGCCATTTCTTTAGATATAAGCGATGCTTATTTACACATCCCAATATTCAAAAACAGATTTTCTGTTCAAAACCAGTGATATCAGTGGAAAGTCCTTTGTTTTGGACCAACTTCAGCTCCGAGAGTCTTTATAAAAATGGTTTCAGTTTTAGCAGCTTGTCTGAGAACTCAAAATATAAGACTAGAAGTCTATCTGGACGACTGTTTAGTAGTTAATCAAAGCAAGAATCTATTTTATCAAGATCGAAAGAAATGTCTCGATCTCCTAATTTCACTAGGTTTTCATATCAACATGGAAAGATGAAATCACATCTCAGCAAACACGAAGAGAGGCTAATCTTTCCAACTGGTCCAAACCTCTGTTACCATAACAACAGATGCCTCGAAATCGGGGGTTTTATGAACAATTAAATCTTTCAAGGGGAATGGTCAGAAATACAGAGCAAGAGACATATAAATTCCTTAGAATTGAAAGCAGTGTTTTTAACACTGAAAAACTTCCAAAATCAGTGGAAATATGTTCTGATAAGGTCGGACAGTACCACAGTGGTCCAACATATAAACAAACAAGTGGGGACGAAATCACCCACTCTTTGCTACCAAACATGGGATTTATGGAATATTGCAATTCAGAACAATATTCGGTCGAAGGCTGCTCATATAACAGGAAAATTGAATAGCAGACCAGAGACATATATACACATGTGTATATATGTCTCTGAGCAGACCCACTTAGCCGATCTAAAATTCAACATACAGAATGGTCTTTGAACAAACATGTGGTTCAGAACCTTTTTCAAATCTAGAAAACTCCTTTAATAGATTTGTTTGCCTCTATAGACAATCGTCAGACAGAAATATTTTGTTCATGGAGCCCACATCAGAAAGCTTTTAAATTAGCTCTGGATGCGTTGACAATTTCATGGAAGAGAACGTACGCTTATGCATATCTCCCAAGTTGTCTGATTCCGAAAGTCCTACAATATATGAGGCAGTACCATTGTCAGATTTTGTTGATAGCTCACCAATGGCCACGGAGACATTGATATCCAGAACTGCTTCAATTATTGATAGCAGTTCCAATCAGGATACCAGTAATTCCAGGCTTGTTTATGTTATGTCAACCGAAAACTCTGATTTATCATCCCAATCTTCAAGTTTTCAAGCTTCTATCAACGAACAGTTTGCAACAGAAGGCTTTTCTAAAGGAGCTAGAGAGTTACTCTCCGCCTCATGGAGACAAAAATGTTATAAAGTAAAAATTCAAGTGCAGTTATCGTATCAAAGCAGGTCCAATTGACATAGTTCTTTTGTTTTTTGTTACTAAAAAAATGACCTAAAAGAGTTTGAACATATATATTCGCATTCTGATTTTTTAAATGCCCATTTAATTAGGTATGTGATATTTTTCTTAATAAGATTATGAGTCAACGTGGTATACAGGGTAGAAAAATCAAAACTTTGAACAGATTCGAAATCACTAATATAAGCATGCAATTTATCAAGAACTTTCAACGAATTTTTGACACTCCAAAAGTAATTAATTCTACTATTTTCTTATTTATAAGGCCTTATTCAAACAATTTATTACCCGTTTTTGAGTGTACTGGTAAGTAGAATCAGAGACATATATATATATATATGTCTCTGGTAGAATAGACAGTTTAGTAGTGGAACAATGGCTTGAAGACGAAATAAATCTATACATAGTTCTATATGTATGTAAAAGTTAAGCCTTCTCATGATAATTAATCAGCTATTCCATTTATATGATTTTTAGTTTAAAGCAACTATGTGCACAGGATTTTTTAATTTATACAGTTTTGATTTAGAAGAAAAACCGACCTGGTTAGAAAATACTAATAATAACACCATTACAAACACAATTCCATTTTAATATTTCTGTCATGGTTAGAAAATACATAAAATAACACCATTCCAAACTCAATCTTATATTCTTGTATGTGTCTACAATAAAACGAATCTATTCTATTTTGAGAAATTTACCTGTGATAATATAAAACGTCACAAAAAATACGTCACTTTTTGTGGCCTTGATACATTGGTGTGACGCACAGTTTATAATATGTTTGTGGTGTCCTGGTGTGCAGTCGTGGATTCATGGGAAGTGTCCTTTGTTATTCTGTGGTTTACATGTTGTAATGTATTATTATATTATTTATTTATGTGTTTCTCTGTCCTTAGTGTTTATGCGTTTATTTGTACTGTATTCCTGTCACGTAATGTTGTCATTTTAGCAGCATTTTAACATTGCCATATAAGCGAGAGGTTTGGCTAGCCATAAACCCAGGTTCAACCCACCATTTTTTCTTAAAATGTCCTGTACCAAGTCAGGAATATGGCAGTTGTTATCAAATAGTCCGTTTCTATGTACGTATTAACCAAAGACTCGATAATTGGTCTCTATTGCTTCTCAGCTTAGCACGCGGCATTTACAAATAAGAGCAAAGACTTATTGGCCCCGAGTCAAAAGAATGTGTATGGTTAGGGTGACATGTCTTCCTGCTGTCATTTCTTTATATCCCTTTAGAGAATAATTTCAATTTGCACAACATTAGTGTATAACGATGACAGACAGACCAAGTTTGTTTTTCATTCCAGTTAAATGACTTTTCATAGAATGAACACCCTTGACCTTAACATTTTTTTTTTATTAAAATTAAACTTTTAAAATATAATGCCTGCAGATCAGATGCTGTGGTACACAAGTATATGACGATAAACTTACAGATTGAGTTTGCCTTTCGTTCAGGTTGAATGAATTTTTATGATAAGGCTTTGTAGAGGCAGAGCATTTATGTCATACCAAAAAATCTAGTTTAGTAGGGCAATGGAAAAAGTATTAATCCAAAGAGCAACTTTTTTTATTTTTCATTTAACCACAATTCACATTTTTGTTCAATTTCATTAAACTAATCAATGTGGAGATTATCCGTATGTTTGTGTGTCTGTTCAAAGTAGGAAATCTTATCACTTTTGTCACTATCTGTTCATTGTTTTTTTATTTGGTAATAATTTGTTTGTGTCAAATATGAGATGTGTCTTTGTTGAATTCATTCAATTCATGATTTCTCAGCCCAATTTATAGTTTGCAATATATACACGCAGTAATTAAACATTCTTTTAAAAAATAAGGAGAGTTAGTATGAGTGCCAATGAGACAACTTGCCAACAGAGTCCAAATGATGTTAAGTAACTATAGTTCACTGTACAGCATTCAACATTGTTGGAAACTGTATGTTTGATGACCTCAAGGTGACCACTAGATATTTATTTAAGTTTAATTGTGTTGATTGGTTCGTTCATCAATTCACATCTGTTTATTTATATGTTGTAAAATCTTGGATTTTAATTTCTGGGCTAAAGAAAAATCAATGAATTATATATAAAACATTTTAATATTTCAGTATAATATTTCACTGGATTCATAATATTTTTAACCAATAAGTATTCACAGTAAAAACAGATAATTCTGTCATTAAAATTGTTAGTATTTTACAGTCTGTTGCTGTCTGTTTAACTTTACACGAAAACTTTGTTACTTAGGCAACACTATCCATCTATCAGTATTGAATATTTTGAAGGAACTTTGACCTCAACCCCAATCCATCATGATTACAATGCTTTACTTCTGCAAAAATGTCCTACATATGATATGCTTCATTGTCCATCATAATGTATGATTGGCTTTCCTTTTCCTAACTATCTGTTTAAATGTCTAATATTTCATTCTAGTATATGACCGAAAATGTGTGACTATTTAAGGCAAAAGGTCAGATCAAAAAGATCGCATAATCCTCATTTTTTCTCCCTCTGGATTATGTTAAAATGGCAAAGCCATGTTAGATGACTGGTTCATGCTCAGCACAACCAATTGAGTATATAATTTCCCAGACTTGTCTGATCAATATGGCTGTTTTGGAAGCCATAATATGAGCCAATACCACAAAAATATTAATATGAAAGTTCTAGTGATAAGTAACATGTCAAAATTGTTCACAATATCAATACACATACATAATTATGGCACATTGCAACATACATACATATTCTATCTGCAGTTTATAATCTTACTTGTATTCATTTTTTATCTTCATTTTATAATCTTACTTGTAACAACTTGTGAAAGAAGTCAAATTTTATCTCAACAGCTTTCCAATATCTTTTTTTGAAATTAAGAAATCTACTCTCATATATGTTTGATGACCCTTTTATAAATCTCTCAATTTCCTCCCCATAAAGCAAACTTAGATTAAAACAGGTGATTTATAATCACGTGGTAACTGATTAACTATAATTTGACAATAATTACAAAATGTCCTTTCTGACATGAAATGTTTTAGGACAATTATTCTATAATAGGTAGGATTCATATGTATCGTGATTACATGAATTCTTTAACATTCACAAACTACTAAAACTTAGATAAAATAACAAAGCTAGCATGACAAATATCTCCTCTTAAAAAAATCAAGTTCCATACAGTGATTTCAAATGTCAATTATAAGCTCAACAAAGATCACATAGCATAGATGAGAATTCATATTTATTCTAGAAACAAGCTAAATTTTTTTTTTAAAATACTATTTATGGAAGTTCAATGTATCCATGCAGCACTGTACACAATACACAACTTTTAGAGCTTTCATTATAAAATATAATTGGAGCATGGCATTAACTTGCTTTCATATAAATGATACTTGGAGTTTTCTTTAAGCTTGCTTTAAACAATAAGTATATGGTCTCCAAGCTATCACAGAAATATTTCTAATTACACTACTGTAAATTCAGAATTTATTGCGTGCATTTATTATTGCGATTTTGTCATTTTAGACTAAAATGCAATTTTAATTTTGTGTTCATTTTATTTAAATGAAGCATTAACATAGGGGGAACTTGATCTAATATGTTGTTAAGAGATACAATTGCATTTAACCAATCAGATTGAGTTTTTCCCAGTATCTGCAGCCCTTACTAATTAATTAAGTTGCTATTTAGGTTACTAAGACATTAGCCAATCAGGGCCCAGTATTTATTTGAATTATCCAATCAGGGTACTAATTAGTGGCTCTTGTTTTAACAAGAGCGCAATTATTCATTTTCAAATTTACCAGCGGCGTCTGCAGACATTTTTAATTTTTGGCAGAAAAAATTTCTAGTGGAGTACCAGATTTTTCAAAGACTATTTGTGCAAAATGAAAATATTATTGTTTCATTGTTAATTGTCTTTATATATGATGCAAAGATTAATTAAACTGTGGTTATTCGCCCAAACCCGTAATATGTTTTCCTCAACCTATGTCTATGTGGTTATACATGGCGGTAGGAGTATTAGACTCTATTCAGCTTGGTTCTTTCAGTGGCTGTATAGGATCTGATCTTGCTTCCAACCATGTTATAGCACCCCACCATTTATGAGTTCACATTAGTTGTCACACATACACATTACATTTATATAAGGCCAAGGTATACATGGGAATAAGGGGGGAGGGGTCCACTTCCATAGTGTACACAAATTATTTGCGATATTGAGAAAAATCCTGTTAAATTCATATAAAATATTTCAAAATGCGAGTTTAAATTATTGCGATTATAACCCTGTCGCATTTTTCGCTATAATAATAACATCGCAATAATTTAGGCTGAAATTTGTCTAATGACAAACATTTACATAGAGAATTTATTTTTATCCTCCTACAGCAGATAACTGTGGCATTTCAAAATTTTGAAGTCTTAAGGCATTTAAATTTTTGACATGCTGTTTTTCACAAATGTTGCTACCTAATTATTTTCTTTAAATATTGTCTCCAGAACTATATCAACTGAACAGGTAAGCTTGATTAAAATATTCTACTTGACAAAATACCCGTTGATTAACATGTAATATCTCTGTACATAAACCAAGTCACCGGTAAAAATATCAGTGCGGAACATAAAGCATGATTTATTCATTCATTGTTGTAATAGTCTTTTAAACAGATGGTTTCCACATTAGCTATCTTGATACCAAAATACAAAATTTAAGAAAATGGTCTCGAATGATTGTTGGTGTTTAACAAAAATTTCTGCCCTCTTTGTTATATCATGGTGGTCAGTTTTTATTATTGGAGGTAGCTAGAGTACCCAGAGAGAACCATAGACTTTTAGCTGGAAAACAGGCAACCCTAATCCATTATCCGAGTTGATTGCCTCTGCCAGAACAGGGTTAGAACTCACAACTTCAGTGTTGACAGACTAGTTATCTAGTGTAGCTGAACTACTTAGAACCACAGGGCCACTGGTCACAAATGACAATGTTACTGATTGACTTGAAGTAATCAGAATCATTCTAGCAAAATAATTTCTATAAAATTGTTCTATCACTCCTCATAATTCATCCATAAAATCTGTTTAATGAAGTTTACATACAGTCCACAAGTATATGTAAGAGAATGATAATCCTTTTCTTCATGAAGTAATGGATTATAATTCTCTTACAAACTTAGAATATTATAAAGTGCTCAAGGCTCAAATGATCTATTCAAGAATTAGTTTCATTGTCAGTGCAATGTTTATAATTGATGCACGACTTCCTTTTTCGGCATGTCATTTATGTATTAGTTTTAGTGATGTAAGAATTTTCATATCATTTGGCAAATATTTCAAAAAAAAAAAAAGCGTTATAGATATTAGGTGACACAACAGTAGAAAGAAAAGGTAGGAATTGTATATGTTTCCTGATTGTGAGTATGAATTTAAATCATGTAATATTTTAGTGAGGAATTATCCTTTTTTTATTTACAGTTTAAATCAATTAATACATTTGAGTTACAACTAAATTTTATTTTACAGCCAATATTTTGGTCCGGCTTTTTACATCAAATAATATTTCATTATTTCAGGGAAATGTTCAAAAATAATGCCTTTAAAAGTTTTTAGTATGTTCATTCCTGTTTTTTTTTTATCGAAATATTGGAAATAACTATTCTTCCCAAACACTTATCAAGTAATCAAAGTTTTAGAAAGCTAAAGATTTAGGTTATTTTTTTATCTGAAAGATTTTTTTTCTTTTTTTGCTTTGCTTTGGTATTGTTTAATTTTTTTAGTAATTTGGAGTTATTAATATTTTCATAATAACATTCACGGTATCAATTTTACTGCACCAGTAAACATCAACTATTTTGAGATTTTTGTTAGTTTGACAATTCAACTTTTAGTCAGTTTCAATCACGCTGTGTGATAAATCCTCCCAATCTGATAAATGTGCTTCGGGGCAGTTGTAGCTCATTTATAGAAACTCTTTGTTTTGAATTGTAAATAGACCCAAATAATAGGATAATCCCTTACTAAGAACATGATTTACATTAATTCTTCACAATTAAGAGGCATCCAATCCTACAATTTCATTGGTCGAGAGCACTTTGCAATATTCTAACATATAAAAGGTCTTGTTAATGAAAACAATTTAGTAAATACCCTCTAACCTTGCTTCTTACATGTTTTCAGTCCATATAGATTTCATGGTATAACATATACCTATACCCTACAAAATATCTGTACAAACTTGTGAAATTCTTGACTAATTTTTTGGGGGGTTACAAAACCAGATGTACTGGAATTTTTGGATGATGATGTATGCATCCAGATACCTGATCACTTGGCTCAGAATCTGACTTTTGACTGATACAATGTAAGTGTATCAATCTGTTCTATGGAATCTTTTCTGTGCTGTAAAGTCTCCAACAATATAAGGTGTTTATAAGGCTTTATATAATTGTCACATATGAAGTAATTTCATTTCAAGACCACCAATCACTCAAAATATAAATCTATCAATACATTAACTTACTGGCCTAACACATATTTTTCTATAACACAGCTGATTGTGGCCACATAAAAATAAAAGCAGAAATAACTGTACCAGAGGTCTTTTACTGCATGTATCATAAATCTCTAGGGACAAATCCAGATTAACAACTAACAAAATCTGATTAAAATCACAATATCATATCTGATATAAATTCGAGAACAAGGTGTATAAATTGTTCAATAATTTAGGGAGTCTTTTGGTAAAAGTTGATTGTCCACTCAGGATGCTTTATAAAATTTCTGACATCTAAGGTTTATTCTAAACTTCACACAATACCATTACACTTGTACAGTGAAATGAATAAAGACCACTTCTTATAAAAAGGGAAGTAACTCCAATCAAAATATAATCTTCAGATTTAGAATTCATGGCATGTTTTATATTAAAATGTGTTATAGAAAGAATTTACCTTGTTGAATAAAGGAATAAGCAAATGAAAGATAAAAAATGTTTGATACACTTATACATGATGAATCTGATTGATAAATATGAAGTAAATAATATCAATAATACTTGTCTTTATTACCTTCTTTTCTGCCTTTTAATAAAATTGTTACCAGTTTGATAAAACCCCACATTGATATATATTTTTTGTGTAATTTCCTGCCAAACCATTCGGAACATTGCACTCACCAATTTCCATTAATTTTTCAGAAAAACAAATTCTACCACTTTATTAGATTGATTACAATATTTTTCCTCTCTCTAGACTTTAAATTTCAAATATCTAAATGCTTCCTTTGAAGTTTGAAGATTGAAAATTCAACTAGCTACCAGTAGAGTTAACTATTGTAATCAATGAGGTTGCATGATAGAATCTCTATGTATATACAAATAACAAATCCTACAGGAATTCTTGCTTCAATCAATATTTTTAAACTTTAAATTGTTTTTTGATTTCAACCAAATTTAACATCAGAAGTAATGATCCTAAAAGATGGCCTCTGAAAACACAAGAATCATTCTGTCATAAAAATACTAAAACTATTGTCACAACCGGATCTGTTCAGAACACAGCAGAATTTAACAACATGACATTATGTACATAATCAAAATTTACAATAATTCATACAAAACATATAATATAATACCCATTAGTCATCATGTAAAAAACAAGTGTTGATTTTTTTATATAAAGATAGAACATAATAAATCAATATTATAATACTATTAATTTGAAAATGAAACAGAAAATCTTCATATTCATTTATTAAGTGTCATTAATTTTATTACAGACAGCTTTTACCAACTCTGGGCGGTTTTCAAGTAACACAAATATACACATTCAGAGGTCGTTATTTGTTGCTGTATACCATATTTGTTTTTGCTTTATTGTTTTATACTTTAATCAGTCCATTAGTTTTCTCCTTTCTGAATTGTTTTAAAAGTAAGATGTGGTGTGATTGCCAATGAGACATTTACAACTATTCACCAGAGACCAAATCATGAGGATGTAAGCAACTATAGGGCACTTTACGGTTTTTAACAATCAGCAAAACTCCTACTGTATAGTAAATTATAAAAGGCCCCAGCATGACAAAATTTGTGAAACATTCAAAAGAGAAAATCAAAAAGCCTAGTTTATGCTAAAACAATACAAGAAAACAAATATGACAGATAGCAACCAACTACAACCATTTAGAGAAATATTCATTTTCTATTTTCACAATACATTTGAAATGGGAAATTTGGAATGGGAAAAATTATCTGAGAATCAGAAAACTAATTTTTCAATATGGTATTTTATATCTTAAATATTTATGTTTGGAATCGTTTACATTTATCATCTAGCATCACAGAAATTTACAGCTGAACTTGTCCTTCTGTGTTGAACAAGATGTAGTTCACGGTCATTGATTAGAACTTGTTGTATACATCCCATGAACCCTTGGTTATAATCTTCTGGTAATTCTATGTTCACACGAGTCTTCCCACCTGAAACAAATTAAGATACATTGAATCATGTTCATGGTTATCATAAATATAACGTTGGCACAGCTAGCCTGACATTGATGGATGGTCCCGGTTATACCAATAATATTGCTGACAAATATTACATAGTAAACTACAAACCTAAATTGTTTAACTAGAACCATATATACCAAAAAACATTTTGGAGAACCCCTTAAAAAATTTAGTTACAGGTTCCCTGGGCCCTGACTAACCTGTCCTGCCTAATAAAATTGCTGAAATATAAAAGAATAAATATATTAAAAGAGATTTCCTTTTGAAATCAAGATTGTGGTAAAACTGCAATCTATTTTTTGAGGGCCTTGATTTACAAAAAAAAACCCTTTTTTGTGCTCTCTTGAAAAATATTTCGGCAGGGGTTAGGTCTGGAAGTCACATATATGAATATTCCTGAAAAGCAGTGTGAATTTGACCTTTCACCTTAAAATCAATATGATTCTTATCATTCCCTATATCTTCCATCTATATAAGTTTATTTGTGAACCAACAATGGTACTCAAGCTGTGTTCTTGAACCCATATCCTCTCCCTAAAATTTCTATTTTTAAAAACAGGGACCATGAATTTTGACCTATTGACCCCAACATCAATTGATAGCCTTCTTTAACTTTCCTATATCTTCCATTGGTATAACTCTCCTTATAGTTAAAGCAATGGAATCTCAAGATTTCATCAGATAAGGGTTTGTTTTGGATAGAATGAGGGATCATTTGACAGACAGATGAGCGGACATATAAAGCCACGACTAGATGTCCCAAAAAAAAAAAATGAAAACATAGTTCCACAAATAGAATGATTTTGTATTAATCCTGGCCAGATTTTAGTCTCGAGATTAAATTCCCTTAAAAGTCATAACGATCCACTAAAACTACATGCCTATCTTTATAAATTATGTGAAAGTTTCTTTCTCTGTATATTTGCTCTACTGAAGACCTACTTGGCTATTGAGGGGAACATTGCAAATATCTATTACATTTGTTATTGTCATCAAACAGTCTGAGGCTTGATCTAATGCTTATGAAACCCATCATTCCCAAAATTTAAGTCAGTAACAATGGTGTTTTCAGAATTGAGTATCCTGCATAAATCTTGCAAAGAAATTATTTTCAACAGCATCCAGTGAAATCCTGAATCCAATTTTTTTTTTAAATTTCGATATATTTTTTAAAGAATGCTTCAACTAGAAATATACAAGTGAAAAAATTTGGAGGTGAATAATCAATAACTATAACTTATTAAAATAATGTTAAACAAATGGCATAAATTTTGTTACATCATATTAGAGTTGGGCTAACGTTATCAGAAATTCCAACAAATCTTGATTCCTATACATTTAATTGACAGTTTGATGTACATGTAGTGTGTCTTAATTCATTTAGTGATATTATTAAAACTTTCATACTGACCTATCAATAAGATACCATTTGTATCTAGTTGTGAAGCGCCCTCTGTTGAGGAATCTGTTATAAGTTTCTCATTGTCAACTTTTAATGTGCCTTCTCTTTCATGCCTGTAAATATAAAACAAGTTATACATCTTTGTAAATGACTAAAGGGAACCCCTACATAATATCTTTGTTAAATATAAATAAATCTACAGGAATCCAACTGATGAACTGACATCCAGTTAAACAAGAATCTAGTTAAAATTTTGCTGTTAGATTGTGATAGATTTATGTCCTTGTTTCTATGGTTTTTGAGGGAATTGAAAAGAAAGAGTATAGTGTATCTGTTCACGACACAAAATCCCTACACACCCATAACTCATGTGCTTACAAAAAGCTCTCCAAATGAAACACCAAAGACTATCCAATGAGCTTTATTTGTTTGTTTCTATTTACTTTAAATATTGAAATATTATCCCAAATATGATATCTATATAATGTGTATATTTCACGGCAAAACAATTTCCTGTGCATTTTATCCTATGTAAGAAACTTTAATAAAATAATTAAAAAAATGTAGTTTCAAACATTTCCTTTTCATTGGTTACATACTCATGAAATGATAATGACAATAAATTCAGTAAAATGGTGAAGATAAAAGTCCCTGAGGACAACTCCAGTATGATATAGTTCACTTCTTTCTTCACTCAAATTTAACATGTTTCCATTTAGAAATTTGTTTAAATCTGTATTATGAAATGGGAGAAAATTCTATCTATAAACTACCTACCTTTCAGCAAATATTTTATGCCATCCACCATCATCAACATCAACAGCTGATTGAATAATATGTAAATCTCTCTCTGATTGTTTTCCTAAATTATAACTGAATTCTACTCTCCCTCGGACAATAGCTATAGCTAAATAGTCACCTAAAACGTTACTTTTACCATTCTGGTATAGAATTAATCCATTTGATTTTAATGTTCGAAATTTTATATAATATTTATTAGATCTTTGTGCTGCTGATCTGAAAAAGGAAAAGGAAAATGTTCAATTTAAAACAATTAGATAAGAGACATTGTGTGCACAGCTTCTTTAGAATATTTTACAAAAACAGGATAATTTTATGATTTCTTTTCATTACAAAGGTTAACAGATAATTCAATGGACTAGTTGCAAAAGCCAACTTATTCTCCCATTAACTTAAATAATCCTGTGTTACTTCATAAAAGTCATTTCTTTAATTCTTAGCCAATTTAAACTTTCAACGACTAGTTGATTATTTATAAACAACAAGCAGTTGTGTTAATCACAGCTCTTTATTTGTCAAAATCAATTATGCAGTCAAATTTGCTTGCGTCCTCTGAGGGACAGTAGGAGGGGGTGTCATTCAGAATTCCTGAAAAAATAAAGCATTCTTTCCCAGATCCCAAAATTTAATCATTAAACCCAGAGTCCCAATAAGGGTAAATCCAAAATTAAAGAAATGAAGAAAATAAAAGCCCAATCCTAAATTCCAGTAAAAAATGAAGGTTTAATCCCAAATGTCGACTGAATTTGGAGAGGGACAGAAATTTGGCCTTGCAACAGGCCACCTATGGACCCCTCAAAGAGTTGTTGCAAGGGTTTTTAACGCCCAGAGAACTTGGCACTCTCTCTACACGGGGCATCGGATTTAAGGTCTCCATTCTAACCTGACGTGGCTCTGTACTTGATACATCCCGCACAGCCAAACGGATGCCTCACTTTGGCTAGGGATTTACTGCCTGTCGGAAGAACATCCGACAAAGTGACCATACTTCTATTCCCCAGCCATCCTTGGGGGTAAAAACAAAATGTTTTGAATATGCATTGTAAAAATATAATTCCCTTACATGGAATAGGAGATAACTTTCTAACTAAATAAACTAAACACAGTGAAACTTACTCTTCTGAAATCTCATTAGAATACTGTAAATATGTTTCTCCATCAAATAATAAAGGTCTGTCTCTGTTAACAGAGTCTACTCCTGTATAAAACAAATATTTTCATCATTACAATAAGTATATATAATGTAAGGACTAAGTCAAAATTATTGTATTTGAGATGTTTCAGGACCTCCTTAAATTAAATTCAGGATATCCTTAATGTTGATGGAGCTCCATAATTATAATGCAAGACCTCCATAATTCAATTTCAGGCCTTGTGGTCACAAAACTTTTGAGGACGAGCACGATTATGGTACAAAGAATCAGAAATCAACCAATCAAATTATTGGATTTGGTGTTTTGAGCACAATTTTTGTACTCCCGAGTACTGAGTAAAGTTTTATGACCGGGTGGCCAGGAGAACCTTAATATTTTTAGAGATTCATAATCAGATTTTAGGATATCCTTAAATTCAATAATTTGGACTAAATACCTGCCTCGTACAATAACTTAATTGTCAATTTATAAAGATTTTTCAGATCAGTAAGTTGATAATTTTTATGAATCAAGGAAGATGTGGAGTTAACATCAAAGTGACAGAAACCCCAAATAACAAGTTCAAGGAGAACTTCCATTTATAAGTTTTAAGGAGTAAATACTCAGAGAATATTTATGAAAATATATATAGATAAAGTACAACTTTTAAAAATAGAATAAAACTTACTTTTTTCACATTTAACTCCGATAAATTTGGCGGGACATTTACATTCCACCTGATCCATTTTTGGTATACAAACTCCACCATTCAAACATGGATTAACATTACATGGAGAGCCTCTGTAGGGGAGGACATTAATCTTTTCTTTGGCTGACGACATCAAATCATCATACAGTTTACCATTTATATAAATCTGAAATAAAACATGTATTCTAAACCTTAAAACATCGAGTTCTGTAAATTAGGAATTTCTGCAGCAAAATTCAGAAACAGCATATAATTGGAACATTTTTAAAATAATATAAAAACAAGAAGATGTGTCATCTTGTATGGGAAACTTAAGTTGCAGTCTATAATGGCCAAGTAAAATAACCATGACAATAGAAATGGTTTGCCGAATATTCATTATCAATGAATGCCACTTTAGACACAGTCCAAGTGACAAGCTTGGAGGAAAACACTTCTTTGTATGAAAGACAAGGAAAGGCCAGTCATGGCAAGAAGTAGCTTTCCTATATTGCTCTGAAATAAGGATAAATGTTCCCCATAAAAAGTGGATAGAACCAAGAAAAGAGTTTAATAATCTTAAATCCCAGAAATTTACAATGCAAATGGGTAGAATTGCAATAGATTTTTTGATACCAGTAGATTGGTAAAACGTTAACTGTCTCAAATCCACCATCAATTACACAAATTTCCATTTTATTACAGTAAGAGATATCAAATATCCATAAAAACAGGCTAAACCTGATGGACACAACACTTCAGAACAAGTTATATAAAAGACTGGACCAACACCATTTAACCATCCCTCATAAAAGATAAGTATTTCTATCATACAACCTTTTGGTCTTGGTATCATTGTTTTAATATACATAGTACAATGTACCAATAACATTGAATTAAACAGTACATCATAAATATAATATACCTACCCTTTGTATAACTCCAGTCAAATTATATGTTATATTTGAATCCACAGGTATATCAAATCTACTTTTAAATCCACCCAGGTATAGAATACTGTTGTCTAAATTTAATTCTGTTAAGAATCCCTGCAACAACAAACAGATAATTAGATTAATTTAATGGTATATTATAAGGGAGAAAAACTGGAACAGCAAAAATAAGAATTTGGTATTACTGTTGCCAGGCAAATACCGTAAATTCAGAAATTATTGTGTGCATTTAATATTGCGATTTTTGAGGAATAGAAAAATCTGCGTATAGATATATGTATCAGATATCAGAATGCGAGTTTTTATTGTTGTGATACTCAACCAGTCACATTATTGGCAATAATAAAAACCTCACAATAATTTCTGAATTTACAGTAGTTAAAACCTGTTTCAAACCACCCTGGCAGCATATCTAATTTGTAACCAAGACTTATGTTTAATTTAAATAAAAACAAACCTTAGACTCCCCTGTATAATTATATTGTGGGTTTTTGTCGATCAGCAATATACCAAATTTCTTGGTTTTATCAATCATCACTTCATGCCATGTATCAAGGGAAATAACTGCATCACTCCTGAAATAAAGTTAGATTTGTTAGAATATTCATATCACCACTCAATCATATTTGATACATATTGACCTGAACAAGATTAACCAAACTAAAACTGGTTCCAGATCAGTTATCCAGAGCTTTCAAAAAAGTATGAAAAAGTAACAAGGAGTTTTTAAGATTTTCTAAAATGGCTTTAGAAACTACTGTGGATTCATTTATTTTCGTGGGTATCAATTTTCGTGGATAGAGAAAAAAAGACGTTTCGTGGTATACGTAAATTCGTGGATCGCTGATCACAAAAAGAAAATAAATTCAGATTCGTAATTCGTGGATTTCTTTTTGATTTAGGAGATCATATAACCTCCTTAGTTTGATCAATAATAGAACAAACAAAAAAGAAGGAATTCATTGAAAAAGTTTTGAATTGTCAAAATCCTCGCTTGCTCATTCTAGGTTAAAGTGTTCATTGAAAACTTCTATTACAATAATGGACAGAGAAAACTAATTATTTGTTTGTTTTACAATTTATAAATTCTTGTCGGAATTTTATAAGGCATTCAAAACTCTATGATTGAAAGCTCATTTCCCTAATCATGATATAATAAACAGTCATATAAGTAAAAGGTGTGAAAATAAATGTTCCTGTCATAAACAATATTACCTACGGGCAAAATCCCCGTACTAAATCCTATTGATTTTAAATCACCAGTAAACCAAACTATGACACGGTAATTAACAACTTGCAGTTATTTTCCATGAAAGTTTTAATCAATTCTAAAAAGTAAATTATCACTGATATTCGATATATTTATTATTGATTTAATCAAAATACTTGTATCTTCTTTCAATAAAAACACGTGTTATGTTACAATGTTTATCGCTAGTCAACACTATACTAGAACTGCATAACATAACCGGAAATAAACATCCGACTCCATACATATTTCTCGGGATTATTCTTCGTTGAATTCTTAAATTCGTGGTTCGCTGTGACCCACGAAACCCACGAAAATTGGTATACCACGAATAAAAATGAATCCACAGTATATGTAATAAAATAATGAAGAGAAAAATAGGGCTTAGCAGGAATTTTTTTAAAGCACTACACTGATAATACTAGAGGATACAAAAAATACTTACGATATAACAATAGTACCACTTCCCATGTTGAATCTGAACTCAACCCGTCTATCCACAATATTTAGAGAAATAAAATCTCCATTGCCTCCTGCATATGTGCTGGCATAAAACAATACTCCTGGAAAAATAACATAGTCTATGACATAAAACAAAACTCCTGAAAACAAACATAGTCTATTGTATAAAACAAAACTCCTGACAATTTAAGCTATGTTGACCTATATGTAGATCTTTTCTTGCTGATAATTTTTGCTGTTTACAGTTTTTCTTTATCTTCTTGCCAAAAATATTAAAAAGAGTAAAAATCATCAATAAAGGGAAATAATTCCTATAAGTAGTCAACTGACAACTCGATCATGTTGACATATTTTGTAGGTACAAAAATGTATTGCTATTTAAAGGTTTTATGTATCTACTATAGTTTTCAAAATAAAGGGCTATAATATGTAAAAAAAAAGAAGGTAAAAATCAATATTTAAGGATAACAGCTCCCACAAGTAGTCTACCTATAATGATTTTCAAGACAAAAAGACAAAACATACATTTTACTTCTATGTTCTATTTTAAACCATGTCTACATCGTTTGTCGGCAGGCAAGATCATTGTACACATATATTTAAACAAGATACATACTCAAATGATGACTGTTACCAAGTTTGGTTCCATTTGGCACAGAGATTTCAGAGGATAAGATTTAAGTGGAAGTTAATGGAAGAGTAGTGGGGGATAGACGACATAAGCTAATTGATGGAATTATCTCACACAAGACGTTTGGGCTAGGTGAGATTAAAATTAAACCTTCATCCTATAAATAAAGAAATAAAATCTGTTTTCATCATCCAGGATGTGTCTGATTGAATGCATTCTGGGATTATGAAGACACATAGAAGTTACCGTTAGGTTTGGATGTCTTGAACCAGATTGTAAATGTCATGGCTGTACTCCCTATATCACCCAGTGGTAGTTCAAGGAAAGAGTTTCCTGAAAACTCGGGTACATCTATTGGCTGTAATTTTTCTGAAAAAAAAATCAAATTAGAACTTCATTGGAATTAAAACATAGTTGGCCTAAACTTAGCACAATCAAGAGCTTGTTTTATCATATGCACTAAATAAGAAATTAGGTTGAATTGTAAATGGGTTTTATACTGCATTGCTAGGTTGCAGGCTCAATATTTTTGTCATATCTTCAATGTGGGCAGTTTAGAGCTGAACAAATGCTTTACACCTTGATGCTTTTTTTCTCTCACATCAACAGGAAACACAGATGTTTGCCTTTAATCTTAATGTCACAAAAGAAAATAGAAGCCATAAAGCAAAGCTGATTGTTGTATGCTAGCTATAGTAAGACAAGTGTTGACAAATCTAAGATAAAGTATTGTAGAATAATGGCTATTTTACCACGAACTCGTCCCTCTCACAATATTTACAGACTATTTATAGAACATATAGCTTAAGGATACATGAAAAGAATTTTGACTAGTGGAACATTTAGACACTTTGAAATTTGTCAGTCCAAAATACATATTTATCAGTACAATTCTATAATTCTATTGAAATATTCACTCAACAGGATTTGTGTCAGACATTTGGACTGACATTGTCACAATATGTGTCACATATTTCAAATTTTCATCAGTCAAATGACTGAACGACACTTTTTAAGAGCTCTGGGATACGATCTTTGATCTAGGGGATTTTTTTCTATAGGTCAGTGGTTATTTACACTGTATAACTTACCAAATTCACAGAATTCCCCCTCTCTGTTAGGACTACAAATACATTTGTATGAGCTTCCATAGATCTGACAAGTAGAACTCTCATGACAGTTAGCCATTACACATGGATCTAATACTATTTCACAATCACGCCCTATAATAGCAATAATGATTAAATCAGATTATCTATATATCAGCCAAACACCAATCTAATACTATCTCACAATTACTCCTTATAATAGCAACAATGATTAAATCAGATCATCTATATATCAGCCAAACATCAATCTAATACTATCTCAAATCACGACCTATAATAGCAAAATGATTAAATCAGATTATCTATATACAGCCATCTTGTCCAAAATCTGGTACCCCTTGTCCATAAGTTAGCATTGATCCTTGTAAATAGAATTTAATTACCCAGTAGCAAAAAAACCTTTTTGTTCATTTTGAGGAAAAAATGTAATTCCAAGTTAGGAATGTTTATAGAGAATTACTGTTTTTGTTTGTTTTCTTTTTTTTTGTACTAATATTTTTTCTTGTTCTTTGTACCTTATTGGTGCAGGAACAATGTATCGATCTTCAATGAACCAGTACATATTCTGAAGTGTCAGTCACTATCTTATCTTGCTAGCTGTTTGGTGCTTAGACTTGTGATGCACAGCACAAAGTTTTAACATAGTTCAGTTTACATTCAATGAACTATATGTCTTAAATAACCTAATTTCTTGTCCCTTCTTGCTGCCAACTTTATATAGGCAATCAAGGCAATTAGTTTCTTGATCTGTAATTCAATATGCACTTATAAACCAAAAATCAACAAAATACCTAAAGACATAACAAATTAAAGATCAGGACAAATGTTGGATTTATAAAAAATAAATGGAAAATGTGTCCATGGGACACAGCTAATGCCCCCGATTGTATATAACGCTATAAAGGGACATAACTTCAGAACAATAAAAGTGACGAACTTGATCAGGGTTTTGTGGTAATAAGGATTGTGTATAAGTTTCATAACATTTGGTTTAGGCAAACTAAAGTAAGAGATCAGAAACCAATTTCGGGACGTATGTAAGGACAAGGGTAAACTTTTATGCCGCCTCAGAGTGCTACAGCAGGGGCATACAAATATAATAACTTGCCAAAATAAGTTACTATATGCTTGACCACTAAGTGCAGGTCATAGATTTTTATTTCTGACTTCTTTTTAACACTCTGTGCCCCATTGTGGATAGATACCTTTAAAGCCATATTTATATACACAGCTATAAACATCAGAATGTTTAGCCCTTCATTGTGGATACATACCTGTAAATCCATGCTTACACACACAGCTATAAACATCTGAATGTTTAGCCCTTCATTGTGGATACATACCTGTAAATCCATGTTTACACACACAGCTATAAACATCTGAATGTTTAGCCCTTCATTGTGGATACATACCTATAAATCCATGTTTACACACACAACTATAAACATCAGAATGTTTAGCCCTTCATTGTGGATACATACCTGTAAATCCATGTTTACACACACAGCTATAAACATCTGAATGTTTAGCCCTTCATTGTGGATACATACCTGTAAATCCATGCTTACACACACAGCTATAAACATCAGAATCTTTAGCAAGACAAGTTCCTCCATATTTACATGGCAAACTGTTGCAAGAATTACTCCCACATTCAGCTGAAAACATAATATCAATGTTTAATGTTCCAAAATAAACAAACTACTGTTACAAACAAGTCGTCAAAATCACGGTAAATTCATACTGTTCAAATTCTTAAAAAAAATATCATAATCTAAAATTATAACATGATGCTCTTCTTTGTTTTAATTCCAATACATTGTAATATACGTGATGCACATGCTTGACATCACAATTTTATTGCAAAATCAAGTTATATTTTTAACAACATCTGAGTCTGTTGGTAATGCTCGTCATGAAATGAATGAACTCATTCTCAAAGTAAGTCTACATGTATTGTACATTTTTCCTTTTGAAAAATAGTTGGGTTTTCTAGAACGTAAAAAATCAAATTGGCTGTCTTTTTAATGTGTCTTATTGGTCTGCTTTGAAGTAGAGAAGTTTTGAATTTTCCTGTAAGAATCAAATTTATTCTTTCGTGTCATCCTCTACATTCCTGTTATGCTCAGTGTAAAGACATTGACAAACATAAAGTGTTCCCATGTCATCCTCTACATTCCCGTAGTGCTCAGTGTAAAGACATTGACAAACATAAAGTGTTCCCATGTCATCCTCTACATTCCTGTTATGCTCAGTGTAAAGACATTGACAAACATAAAGTGTTCCCATGTCATCCTCTACATTCCCGTTATGCTCAGTGTAAAGACATTGACAAACATAAAGTGTTCCCATGTCATCCTCTACATTCCCGTTGTGCTCAGTGTAAAGACATTGACAAACATAAAGTGTTCCCATGTCATCCTCTACATTCCCGTTGTGCTCAGTGTAAAGACATTGACAAACATAAAGTGTTCCCATGTCATCCTCTACATTCCCGTTGTGCTCAGTGTAAAGACATTGACAAACATAAAGTGTTCCGATGTCATCCTCTACATTCCCGTTATGCTCAGTGTAAAGACATTGACAAACATAAAGTGTTCCGATGTCATCCTCTACATTCCCGTTATGCTCAGTGTAAAGACATTGACAAACATAAAGTGTTCCCATGTCATCCTCTACATTCCCGTTATGCTCAGTGTAAAGACATTGACAAACATAAAGTGTTCCCATGTCATCCTCTACATTCCCGTTATGCTCAGTGTAAAGACATTGACAAACATAAAGTGTTCCCATGTCATCCTCTACATTCCCGTTGTGCTCAGTGTAAAGACATTGACAAACATAAAGTGTTCCCATGTCATCCTCTACATTCTCGTTATGCTCAGTGTAAAGACATTGACAAACATTAAGTGTTCCCATGTCAGCCTCTACATTCCCGTTGTGCTCAGTGTAAAGACATTGACAAACATAAAGTGTTCCCATGTCATCCTCTACATTCCTGTTATGCTCAGTGTAAAGACATTGACAAACATAAAGTGTTCCCATGTCATCCTCTACATTCCCGTTGTGCTCAGTGTAAAGACATTGACAAACATAAAGTGTTCCCATGTCATCCTCTACATTCTCGTTATGCTCAGTGTAAAGACATTGACAAACATAAAGTGTTCCCATGTCAGCCTCTACATTCCCGTTGTGCTCAGTGTAAAGACATTGACAAACATAAAGTGTTCCCATGTCAAAATAAGCATATTGCTATACAGTTATGACCATTCATGGTTCTACCCTCTGTCTGTACTTATATTTTGGCATTGAACAAAATCCTGTGTTTCTCTGACTGTTAATAACGACTATACACTAAATCCATTGGTTGTATACTGATTGATAGTTTAGTATTGGTTACATGATTCTTTTATTGGTTGTTCTTGGCTTAGAACTAGCTTTCAGTAATTGTGAGTACTCTGAGATTGGTACTTTGTGTCATTAACTTGTTTTTTTTTCAGTGTTTTGTGTGCTTTTTGTTGATCTGATGAGTAATAACTATATCAACTGGTATATAGGTTTTTTTTTAGTGTTTTGTGTGCTTTTTGTTGATCTGATGAGTAAAGCCTTTTTCAACTGATTTTTGTAGTGATTGCAGTTATTGAAGCTTGTTCAAGTTGAATATCAACTAATAAATAAATGGTGTTTTCCCAGTCTACCTACCAATATCTAACCCTGACATAATATGATCTGAAACTTGTGGGTACGATAGATCATAAAGGTGTGTTCTCAGTCTACATACCAATATCTTACCCTGACATAATATGATCTGAAACTTGTGGGTATGATAGATCATAAAGGTGTGTTCTCAGTCTACCTACCAATATCTAACCCTGACATAATATGATCTGAAACTTGTGGGTACGATAGATCATAAAGGTGTGTTCTCAGTCTACCTACCAATATCTAACCCTGACATAATATGATCTGAAACTTGTGGGTACGATAGATCATAAAGGTGTGTTCTCAGTCTACCTACCAATATCTAACCCTGACATAATATGATCTGAAACTTGTGGGTATGATAGATCATAAAGGTGTGTTCTCAGTCTACCTACCAATATCTAACCCTGACATAATATAATCTGAAACTTGTGGGTACGATAGATCATAAAGGTGTGTTCTCAGTCTACCTACCAATATCTAACCCTGACATAATATGATCTGAAACTTGTGGGTACGATAGATCATAAAGGTGTGTTCTCAGTCTACCTACCAATATCTAACCCTGACATAATATGATCTGAAACTTGTGGGTACGATAGATCATAAAGGTGTGTTCTCAGTCTACCTACCAATATCTAACCCTGACATAATATGATCTGAAACTTGTGGGTACAATAGATCATAAAAGTGTGTTCTCAGTCTACCTACCAATATCAAACCCTGACATAATATGATCTGAAACTTGTGGGTACGATAGATCATAAAGGTGTCTTCTCAGTCTACCTACCAATATCTAACCCTGACATAATATAATCTGAAACTTGTGGGTACGATAGATCATAAAGGTGTGTTCTCAGTCTACCTACCAATATCTAACCCTGACATAATATGATCTGAAACTTGTGGGTACGATAGATCATAAAGGTGTGTTCCCAGTCTACCTACCAATATCTAACCTGACATAATATGATCTGAAACTTGTGGGTACGATAGATCATAAAGGTGTGTTCTCAGTCTACCTACCAATATCTAACCCTGACATAATATGATCTGAAACTTGTGGGTACGATAGATCATAAAGGTGTGTTCCCAGTCTACCTACCAATATCTAACCCTGACATAATATGATCTGAAACTTTGGTGGGTATGATAGATCATAAAGGTGTGTTTCCAGTCTACCTACCAATATCTAACCCTGACATAATATAATCTGAAACTTGTGGGTACAATAGATCATAAAAGTGTGTTCTCAGTCTACCTACCAATATCAAACCCTGACATAATATGATCTGAAACTTGTGGGTACGATAGATCATAAAGGTGTCTTCTCAGTCTACCTACCAATATCTAACCCTGACATAATATAATCTGAAACTTGTGGGTACGATAGATCATAAAGGTGTGTTCTCAGTCTACCTACCAATATCTAACCCTGACATAATATGATCTGAAACTTGTGGGTACGATAGATCATAAAGGTGTGTTCCCAGTCTACCTACCAATATCTAACCTGACATAATATGATCTGAAACTTGTGGGTACGATAGATCATAAAGGTGTGTTCTCAGTCTACCTACCAATATCTAACCCTGACATAATATGATCTGAAACTTGTGGGTACGATAGATCATAAAGGTGTGTTCCCAGTCTACCTACCAATATCTAACCCTGACATAATATGATCTGAAACTTTGGTGGGTATGATAGATCATAAAGGTGTGTTTCCAGACTACCTACCAATATCTAGCCCTGACATAATATGATCTGAAACTTGTGGGTACGATAGATCATAAAGGTGTGTTCTCAGTCTACCTACCAATATCTAACCCTGACATAATATGATCTGAAACTTGTGGGTACGATAGATCATAAAGGTGTGTTCTCAGTCTACCTACCAATATCTAACCCTGACATAATATGATCTGAAACTTGTGGGTACGATAGATCATAAAGGTGTCTTCTCAGTCTACCTACCAATATCTAACCCTGACATAATATAATCTGAAACTTGTGGGTACGATAGATCATAAAGGTGTGTTCTCAGTCTACCTACCAATATCTAACCCTGACATAATATGATCTGAAACTTGTGGGTACGATAGATCATAAAGGTGTGTTCCCAGTCTACCTACCAATATCTAACCTGACATAATATGATCTGAAACTTGTGGGTACGATAGATCATAAAGGTGTGTTCTCAGTCTACCTACCAATATCTAACCCTGACATAATATGATCTGAAACTTGTGGGTACGATAGATCATAAAGGTGTGTTCCCAGTCTACCTACCAATATCTAACCCTGACATAATATGATCTGAAACTTTGGTGGGTATGATAGATCATAAAGGTGTGTTTCCAGACTACCTACCAATATCTAGCCCTGACATAATATGATCTGAAACTTGTGGGTACGATAGATCATAAAGGTGTGTTCTCAGTCTACCTACCAATATCTAACCCTGACATAATATGATCTGAAACTTGTGGGTACGATAGATCATAAAGGTGTGTTCTCAGTCTACCTACCAATATCTAACCCTGACATAATATGATCTGAAACTTGTGGGTACGATAGATCATAAAGGTGTCTTCTCAGTCTACCTACCAATATCTAACCCTGACATAATATAATCTGAAACTTGTGGGTACGATAGATCATAAAGGTGTGTTCTCAGTCTACCTACCAATATCTAACCCTGACATAATATGATCTGAAACTTGTGGGTACGATAGATCATAAAGGTGTGTTCTCAGTCTACCTACCAATATCTAACCCTGACATAATATGATCTGAAACTTGTGGGTACGATAGATCATAAAGGTGTGTTCCCAGTCTACCTACCAATATCTAACCCTGACATAATATGATCTGAAACTTTGGTGGGTATGATAGATCATAAAGGTGTGTTTCCAGACTACCTACCAATATCTAGCCCTGACATAATATGATCTGAAAATTGTGGGTATGATAGATCATAAAGGTGTGTTCTCAGTCTACCTACCAATATCTAACCCTGACATAATATGATCTGAAACTTGTGGGTACGATAGATCATAAAGGTGCGTTCTCAGTTTGTTCTTCACATGGAATGTTTTAATACAACCGACAAACCCCATTGGCAGTCTCTGCTTGAATTCCCTGAAAAATAAATGTAGTGAAATTATAGACTGAAAGATAGCTACTTCTATAGGGCTTATTTTTGTTTATTTGGACACATGAGCTAAACATCTATGTGATAGAACCTAAAAACATAGCTAAATCACAAATACATATGATTAAAGAACCTTGGTAAGCAAGCTATCATACCCATCGGCCCAATTAAAACAAAGGTATTTTATTCTACCCCCCACAAGAAACTCAAAGTACCGAGAAACAGGGAGAATTTGTCTAACAGATCTGAAATGTGCACACATATTACAAGTGCACACGTATTACAAGTGCACACATATTACAAGTGCACACGTATTACAAGTGCACACATATTACAAGTGCACACATATTACAACTCACCAATGTTGAGCTGTTGGCCAAATATGAAGTCATTCTGCTTAATAATATAGAAGAAATATGACAACATATTAAAAAATTAAAAGTATTGGCAAACAGGAAGAAGGTGTCTGATATATCCAAAATTACTCACTCTGTACAACTCATTACTGCCAAGTGGCTGACCAAATTTGAAGTCATTCTTCTCATAAGTTTCTGAGAATAGTGTTACAAAAATATTTGTTGGACGAACAGACAGACAGACACGGGAATATAACAGGAGAGGGAGTATAACAAGTAGATTGGAAGGTTCAAACTTTTATTTTGTTGTTTCATTACAGTACTTAATTACTGTGATAATATTTAACCATATGGTTTAAAATTAATCTATAAAAAGCTATTCAGGTTAAAAAATACACTAAACTAGTTTTCATAACGATTTATGTTTATTAACACTCAAGATTTTACTATAAATGAAGGTATGAATAAATTTATATTTTGGTTATTAATACTCACTTATTTATTTCACTTTGTGGATTTCCTAAATAAAATGGTCTGTCTACTAAATTAAGAGATACCAATGATCCTGGAGCTGTCCCTAACACTGGAGATTCTTTGTCTACTGTAAGTGAGCCGTCCTTACCGTCCCTACTGGCAGTCACATGGATAAATTGGTTGAGCTGTATCCTATGTCTGTTTCTCAGTATCATGGGACCACCACCAACATCAAATCTACAGAAATAATACAATGCAAAATATATTTCACCATTTCTAGATAAGATGTATGAATAATCAATCAAAAATCTAAATGAATTAACCATTTATGATTTCATGGTTTTTTTTCACAGTTTATAATTTATTGAATGAAAACAGTAAGCAATTTCAATAAATCCATACAGACAAAATTGAATCGAGAAAAAAAATAAGTTCATTGGCAATCATACACATCTCCTTGTGAGGTTAACAGCTAATGGATCGGCAATAAATCTGAAAATTCATCACAGTATAGCATGCTCACATGAAGTTTGATACCAAATTTCAAAATGCCCTGATCTGTAGTTCCCGAAAATAACTTAATACATTGTACATGGTCATTATATGTAAGGAAATATAAAAATTCAGTAAATAGGAAGTTGATGAATAATAGATCTGAAATGCACCACATAGTAAAAGCATGATCACATGAAGCCTGAAACCTAATTTCAGGAAGATGTGATTAGTTGTTCTTGCAATGAAAATTTCACAGCGAGGAATTAATTCCGTGATTACCTGAACTCTACATATGCATCTCTAAGTGAGAGCGACAAGAAATCTCCAGACCCATTAGGAAACTGGCTGCTAAACAGTAGTAGTCCATCATAATTCAAGGCTTTAAAACTGATATCAATAATTATCTCATGGTCAGTTTGGATGTAGTGTCGTAATATCAACTGTGACATGCCAGAAAAGGATGGAGTAGTGATTCGTCCATCTGAAAAAAAGTTCCAAAATCAATTAAGATGACACGAAAAAAAAACAGGACTTGGTATAGATAAAGTAACAATATTTACTATCTCCCAACGATAAAGTTTAATAATAAAATTTTAAGGGCATATGTAAAGTTTCGATACCACGGTGAATTTTTTATGAAAAATTTGCAAGGTATTTTTCGTCTAGTTAATTCAAATATGTAATAAAAAGTATACCTTCATGTGCTACTTTTAAAGATAATGGGATCTAAATTTTTTATATTTACTCAAAATTAACTTTTTGTTCCAAAAGATAAATACAAGCAGATTTTTGTGAACAGATTTGGAATATCTACTTTACTCTAATTTGTATGCTCTAATTTTGTGTATCAATTCTATGAAAATAATTCATTTTTATCAAATGTTTATGATTGAAGAAAAAACAGCATTTTTTGCTGTATATTTATCTAATTTTTTTAAAATTCCTCGATAATTTTTTCATAAAAATTGGTACAACTAATCTTCATACATAATCAATTCAAATGTCATTTTTAAAAAGAGGGTTCAATGTACTGTTTTCGAGCTGATGATTAAAATCAGTTGAAAAATGCATCTTTTCCTGATATGTCACAGTTTGACATTGGGAAAATAACATTTTACGTTAGCAACATCACTATTTTCTTGTAACTGTATCGTATGCCCTTAAGTTGCCAAGTAAATCTTGCATTTAAAAGTTGAAAATTGAGTTGGTAAATATTGTAATTAATTGGAGTGTGTGGTATAATCTGTTTACCCAGCTATACAATTTCTTTTTAATAGACTAGAAGTGGTTTGAATTTTTCTTTCATTTAAAAAAAACCAAAAAGAATCACCAATAATCCATTTAATACTGCATAAATATGATTATATTCTTTCAGGCAATGCTTTGATCTAAAAAAAATTAAAACAAAGCTATTTTGTTAGCATGACTTACTGTCTTTACAAATGGATCTAAATCTACCAATGGGACATAGACACATGACTTACTGTCTTTACAAATGGATCTAAATCTACCAATGGGACATAGACACCTGACTTACTGTCTTTACACATAGATTCAAATCTACCAATGGCACATAGACACATGACTTACTGTCTTTACAAATAGATCCAAATCTACCAATGGCACATAGACACATGACTTACTGTCTTTACAAATAGATCCAAATCTCCCAATGGCACATAGACACATGACTTACTGTCTTTACAACTAGATCCAAATCTACCAATGGCACATAGACACATGACTTACTATCTTTACAACTAGATCCAAATCTACCAATGGGACATAGACACATGACTTACTGTCTTTACAAATAAATCCAAATCTACCAATGGCACATAGACACATGACTTACTGTCTTTACAAATAGATCCAAATCTACCAATGGCACATAGACACATGACTTACTGTCTTTACAAATAGATCCATATCTACCAATGGCACATAGACACATGACTTACTGTCTTTACAAATAGATCCAAGATTACCAATGGGACATAGACACATGACTTACTGTCTTTACAAATAGATCCAAGTCTACCAATGGGACATAGACACATGACTTACTGTCTTTACAAATAGATCCAAGTCTACCAATGGGACATAGACACATGACTTACTGTCTTTACAAATAGATCCAAGTCTACCAATGGGACATAGACACATGACTTACTGTCTTTACAAATAGATCCAAGATTACCAATGGGACATAGACACATGACTTACTGTCTTTACAAATAGATCCAAGTCTACCAATCGGACATAGACACCTGTAACCCAAATCTCTGTCTAATCGACATAAACCATTGTTACGACAAGGATTATTTATACAGGAATCATCTGTTATATGTTCATCAGGTCTTAGTGTTTCCACCTCTGCAAATATATAAAATTAAATTCAACTAAACTAATGTCTTACTTTCTGAGTAGTTTGTGAATAAAATATAAATGCAGAAATAGTTTTGTTAACCTGTACATTTAAAAAATATTTGGCTACCCTGATAGAGATGCAATAAGATATATTGTACAAAATCATACTTTATTTTGATTGAACATCGGTTGACCCCAGGCCAAATGGGTATAAATGACGTCATTGAACAATTTGTTCTTACTGTGACGTAATAACATAAGCATTGTGACATAGGAAATGTACAGAAAGGTGCATGAATTTGATGACAGTATGCTGACCTCTAGAAGTCTTTTGAGGTATTTTTGCAATATACAATGAATTAAAACTACAGCTGCCAATTTGTTTGGTTTTTTTTTTTGCTATGGTTCTTCTCATTTCATCAAACTATTTGGATATTTGACTTTTTTTGTCAAGCAGTTAAATCATAACTCAAAGAACTAGCATTCTATGATAATGGCAAAGCTGTTTATCTTGCTTGTTAGACAATACCCTAACTCAAATCAAATCTTAAAAGTATGGGATATGGTGTATCAATCCATGACACAAAATGATCACTCGCACTTGCTCAATCCAAAATCAGTGCTTTTATTAATGTTGTTTATCGCATAGTCATAACTCAGTCTTAAACATGGAGCAGAAGCTATCACCTCACTACAAGTTCAATACAGCCCACAGCACAAGTTTCAGCAAACTTCTTTGCTAGATTTGAATCACGCTACATCCAGTGGCAGATTAAGGGGAGTGTAGAGGACAGACGGCAAACCCTTTTATTTGAAAATATATCTTGTTTTAGCATAAAATTGTCCGCCTCCCTGTGTTTGTCGATATATATATGTAGGACTCAAATCTATGGTGGGTTCCAGATCTATGGCAGATCCCTAATCTATGGCAAATATGATGTCATGCCATCCCAAATCTATGGCAGATTTGTTACAATCCCAATGTATGGCAAGTTTTGTAATTTCCTAATCTATGGCGGATTTTTGTTGTTTCCAAATCTATGGCAAATTTTGTACATATGGAAAACAAGGCAGTACATATACGACCGATGCCTTTTCTTAAACAAGTGAAAATGTATAAAAACGGAAGCATGTTTATAAACATTTTTGAAACAAACATTCCATACCATAATACAGACTTCAGGATTAAGATGATGCGCCCCGGAAAAATAAGCATTTCTTATCTGTGCATGGTACCTGTTTAGTCTATTTATTAAACCAACTAATAAAAATGGTAGTCCCATGAAAACAAAGAAAGCAGTTTTTTATGAAAAGAATTAAACAGTTTAATTTTTCATATCATATTTATTTGAGCGTTATTTAATTTTTTTTTAACTAATGACGATTTAAGTCAAAGTGGTATCCTGTAATTTCATCTCTCACTTTATATACTTTGCCAGGCGTAGATGCTAAAATATTAATTATAACTCCTTTCCTAAAATATCCACTACTAAAAACAGCCGTGCCTTTATTCATTGCGGGATTCGGACAGTACAGCACATCTTCCTTTAAACCATCAGCAAATTGTTTTAGAGGGAGAGTGTTTCCCTGTGTTTTTGTTTGTAAAAATTTGAAATCTGTGAGCCCCGTGTTAAATATTTCTTTTTGGTTTACATCATACAATTAAAAGAAAAAAATATATATGGTGTTCAAATCTATGCCGGAGCTGCCAACGTTAGCGGCGGCGATGACGACGACGTAATTAATTTAATTGTGACGCTGTATGTTACTCTTTTCCCCCGAAAATTACGCAATTTCAAGATCTGCCATAGATTTGGAGAAAACAAAAAAAGTGCCATAGATTTGATTTGTAATGTCATATTTGCCATAGATTAGGAATCTGCCATACATTTGGAACCCACCATAGATTTGAGTCCTACATATATATGTCATGTTTTATGGTATTTAGCTCCCTCAAAATCCTGGATCTGCCCCTGACATGTGTGCATTGAAAAATGCAAATGTTTGATAACATCAATAAATCACAGATTATAATGCCTGCTAATAACTTTTATTTGTAAGCTTTGTAAGCTGTTTGAGAATTTTAAACAAACCATTTGATTTATCTTACCCACACATTCCTTTAGATCTGATGATGACATGTATCCTTGGTTACACTGACAGATTCCCTGTCGACATTGACTGTTACCAGCTGAACAATAGTCACCATTGAGACATCTGTCTAGAATTTTAACTGAAAATTAGACATAAAAGATAGATTTTAAATGGTGGACAAAAATCAAATATTCATTTCAAGCTTTTACTTTAAAATCTTAACAATATTTAAAATTTCATCAGCATTCTTGAACAAAAGGCTGCAAAACTTCTACAGTATATTTTGAAATTGGAAAAAATTTTCTATACAATTGCCATCAAGGGAATATAGCTATTCTATCTGAGTAACCTCTGACAATTCACAGCGAAATTACCTTTACAATACAGCCAAGATAACATGAACAATACATTTGATAGCGGTCTTTAATTACAGGATAACTGCACAATTTTGAGTTTCAACATTAAATATGAAGCCCCAGTGACATGGTAATCTGGACAACTATGACATGTTCCTTTATCTGGTTCAAACCACTAAACTGGTCCCCTGTCACAGATGGCCTCATGAAACATGGGTTACAGATTATATGCTTCAACCATTGAATATGTTTGTGGTAAGAATTTTAGCGCAAAATTTACAATACATGATCATTACACCGGCCGTCAATTTAAATGCATTGTTGCAGACACAAACATTGATAATGGCCAAGAATTTACAGTCCCTTCCAAGGACAAATCATGGAACAAAAGCCGATGACCTTGTAACTTCTTACCTATAGAAAACCTAGGCCGTTTGACCTTTAGGTTATTCTGTTGACCTCGTAACATCTTACCTATAGAAGACCTTGGACCTGTTTGACCATTAGGTTTTTCTGTTGACCTTGTAACATCTTACCTATAGAAGACCTTGGACCTGTTTGACCTTTAGGTTTTTCTGTTGACCTTGTAACATCTTACCTATAGGAGAAGACCTAGGACCTGTTTGACCTTTAGGTTTTTCTGTTGACCTTGTAATATCGGCTTCTCCATCATCTGTGTGTTTTGTTGTCTTCCTAGAAAGTCTATTAGGATGCATAGGTGCTGTGGTTTTTCTGTCATCTGAAATGAAATTAAATATGAAAGGCCAACTAGATTATGTCTATATGCACAAAAAGCCAAATGAAATGTACATAAAAAAAGGATATCTGCATTAAGGTATTGTAAAATATTAGTGCTGATTCATCATTTAAAACTTTCTTGTGAGTCAGCTTTGAAAACGCAGAACATACTGATGTATAATAAGAGATATCTCCAACATTTCCACAAAAAATTAATATTTGTCAATCCTTTTTTAATTATTTTAACCTACCATTTATATGACATGGAGCTAGGTGGTGCATGTACAGATGTGTTTGTTGTTCACATGAAGTTCTCTGTAGTTGACATTCTGACTGGTACGTCCTGCCATCACTGCCACATACTACTGCAGAGTTTTTATGATCTTTCGGTAAACAAGGGAGATTACTACAATCACAATATGCCCTGCCATTTTGTTCTTTACACTCACCACCAAAGCCACAGATCAATTCCATGCAAGTACCTTGTATTGATACACCATCTACCAAAAAAATCAATAAGTTATCAAGTACCTTGTATTGATACACCATCTACCAAAAAGATCAATAAGTAATCAAGTACCTTGTATTGATACACCATCTATTAAAAATATCAATAAGTTATCAAGTACCTTGTATTGATACACCATCTATTAAAAATATCAATAAGTTATCAAGTACCTTGTATTGATACACCATCTACCAAAAATATCAATAAGTTATCAAGTACCTTGTATTGATACACCATCTATCAAAAATATCAATAAGTAATCAAGTACCTTGTATTGGTACACCATCTACCAAAAATAACAAGAAGTTATCAAGTACCTCGTATTGATACACCAAAATAATTCATCAATAAGATACCTTGTATTGATACACCATCTACCAAAAATATCAATAAGTTACCAAGTACCTTGTATTGATACACCATCTACCAAAAATATCAATAAGTTATCAAGTACCTTGTATTGATACACCATCTAACAAAAATAACAAGAAGTTACCAAGTACCTTGTATTGATACACCATCTACCAAAAATATCAATTAGTTATCAAGTACCTTGTATTGATACACCATCTACCAAAAAGATCAATAAGTTATCAAGTACCTTGTATTGATACACCATCTACCAAAAATATCAATTAGTTATCAAGTACCTTGTATTGATACACCATCTACCAAAAATAACAAGAAGTTACCAAGTACCTTGTATTGATACACCATCTACCAAAAATATCAATTAGTTATCAAGTACCTTGTATTGATACACCATCTACCAAAAAGATCAATAAGTTATCAAGTACCTTGTATTGATACACCATCTACCAAAAACATCAATAAGTTATCAAGTACCTTGTATTCCTAACCTTTCTTTTGTGGTATTGAACCTTTAGCTTAAATTTCATAAAGATCATTACACTTAAATTAAAGTTTTTGTCCAGAAACCAATTGTCATCAGACGACGACAACGATGTGATAGCATTATACGAACGCAATTTTTTTGCAGGCGTACAAAAATCATCATTTTAAGGAAGATAAAAGGAGTGGTTTAATTCATGAATCTAAAAGTGTAGCCAGTGAAACTGCTTGATGTATCCTAAGACATTACCAAACTTCATAAACCTTTGAACACGTAAATACTCTTACCCAATTATGTTCATTACAATAACTAGAGATAAACAAATCAAAGGAGCCAACAAAAGGTAAGCAGTTCTTGCTCCGCTAGTTCCACTAATGATATTATAATGTAGCTATAACTAATGGAGCATATCAATGGTCATTAGGGACACAAACTATTTCCCATAGGCATCTTCCAAGTCATAATGGTGCATATCAAATTTTGGAAGACATGACAATTACAGTCCTTCGTTCAGTAAATAATTGTTATCCAAATTTATTCATCTCAAATATGCATCAAATCTATGCTTCCATAGTATTATATAGTAAAGGAGTCAGTTCGGTAAGGGCCATATTTGGCCCCGATTATAAAGTTCAATGTTACAAGATAAAAAATGTTTTAAGTTGACTTAAGGACATGTGAGAAAGTTAGATAGAACTATTTGTGTCAAAGTTTTCTTCTAGAGCGTTGAATTTTACATCCCAAATAGGTCAAGATAAGAGATTTTGGTGAAATTTGCCAAAATCGGCCAGATTTCAACCAAATTAAGGACCAGGAAACATAGAGGGCAGGCATCGACAAACTAAATATTCAAGTTAGACATGTAAAATGTCTTTACAAACATTATCTTTAATGATCTTTTTTGTCGTCCTTGCGCTCTATGTTTCCTGTCCAATAATCAAAGGAAATTTACCCAATTTCATTGATTTTATGGTGTAAAATAAAAATGAGTACTATTTGTGACGTCATGAATAAAACGCAGGAACGTAAATTTTCAAGAAAAAGGCTTATATATATTTGTTTAGGGGCCAGCTGAAGGACGCCTACGGGTGCGGGAATTTCTCGCTGCATTGGAGACCTGTTAGTGACCTTCTGCTGTTGTCTGTTCTATGGTCGGGTTGTTGTCTCTTTGACACATTCCCCATTTCCATTCTCAATTTTATTATTTCATATCTAGTCACTGTATTAGCTATGATTCATTGTGATATTGGTCAATTAATCCTAATTTGTAATTTCAGCTAAACTAGAGGCTCTAAAGAGCTTGTGTCGCTCACCTTGGTCTATGTGCATATCACGCAAAGGACACAGATGGATTCATGACAAAATTGTGTTTTGGTGATGGTGATGTGTTTGTAGATCTTACTTTACTGATCATTCTTGCTGCTTACAATTATCTCTATCTATAATGAACTTGGACCAGTAGTTAGAGTGGAAAATATTTTGTAAAAATTTACAAAAATTTACAAAATTTATATAAATTGTAAAAAATTGACTATAAAGGGCAATAACTCCTTAAGGGGTCAATTGACAATTTTGGTCATGTTGACTTATTTGTAGATCTTACTTTGCTGTACATTATTGCTGTTTACAGTTTATCTCTATCTATAATAATATTTAAGATAATAACCAAAAGCTGCAAATTTTCTTAAAATCACCAATTCAGGGGCAGCAACCCAACATCGTGCCTGATTGGTCTGAAAATTTCAGGGCAGATAGATCTTGACCTAATGAACAATTTTATCCCATCAGATTTGCTCTAAATGCTTTGGTTTCAGAGATATGAGCCAATCAAAGAGCTGAAAGCTCTGAGGAAAAATGATGCCACGGTCTCTAATATTGTGATATTTTTTATGCAAGTCTTGATTTTCACATACCGTAATAAGTTTAACATTGCAACATGTCTAGTAAGCATATAATTGATATTCGTATATGTGTCTGTTTTTTCAGTACAAATGAATAGGTCAAGACTACCTGAATGATCTACAGTATCCAATTACTACTGGCTGTTTTTTTGTATAAATAAATAGGTTAAGACTACCGGAATGATCTACAATATCCAATGACTACTGGCTGTTCTTTTGTACTAATAAAAAGGTCAAGACTATTTGAATGATCTACAATATCCAATGACTACTGGCTGTTCTTTTGTACATATAAATAAAGACTACCTGAATGATCTAAAGTATTCTAAGTAATGTGATTTTTTTGTTGCAATTACATTTTTCTAAATCAAGAATATAGACTACTAGTATCCTTTTCAAACCAAATGATTATGAAGAGCCTGTTGTTAGCAAGCTCTTATACCCCACATACTCATTAAATAAGTTACTAGTGACCTAGTTATCTCTGTTACTTGAAGCAAATTATATTTCTGTATATTTAGACAATAGTATAATATTGTTTTACTAGTTTTATTTCACCTTGAAGATTAGACAAATAGGGATACTCCTTCAATTTTTTATTTCATGTCAGTCAGGTCGCTTTATATGAAACTTGAAACCACTTCTCTGGCATATTGTTATTTTATAACAACTCTGCCCTTGACCATGTTGACCAATGTAATTGATTTGATTTGATTTGATTTTTGGTGTTTTAACGCCACTTTTAAGCACCGCTTTTGGGCTATTTCGTGGCAGCCAGTTTTTATTGGTGGAGGAAGCCTGAGTGCCCGGAGAAAACCACGACCTTCGATAGGAAAACTGATAATCCTAGTCAATTAAGATTGGAGTCGAGTGCACCCGCACGAGCGGGGTTCGAACTCACAACCTCAGTGTTGACTGGCTAGTGATTACAGTAGTAACTAAATAGACCACTCGGCCACCGAGGCCCCTCCAATGTAATTGATATTCATTCTTTAACCATATATCATAGTCAGTTAGTTTTTGATTTTGCACTTCCACACCACCTTTCATGTCTTTCAGGTCAAATGTCTGACTCCATTTAAGTGAATGACATTGAACAATCATGGTATTAAACACAATTTCAATAGTGATAATGCTGTTCTCGTGGGTCACCATATATTCAACTTGGGTAGCATTCCAGTTATTGAAATTTGTGTCAGATTAGAACAATGACCTAGATGTTTAGGAATGGATCTTATAATTTAATATGGAGCCATAGTATGGGACCCCTACACGGTAACAAAAAAAAAAAGCTTGAAAGGATACAATGTCAAGCGACAAAATCTATCACCAGAGATTACAAGTAAAAAGAGGATGGGCGGGATACGTCTCTAAAATGCTTGCTGAACTGAAACTACAGCAAGATCTCCAGACAAGACGAACAAAGCGTTGAAGCCAGAAGTTAATATTTATGTAAAAAGTAGTTGAGGGGCTGATTCCCGCTATTGAACCATACTGTCATTCTATAATATCATTGCGTAAGTATTTCTGTATTGGCCTTGTTATTGGTCCATGTCTTGGGTGTATTGGTCTGAGGCGAAGCGGAAGGCCAATACTGCTGGCTGAGGACCAATAATAAGGCCAATACAGAAATACACGTAATAGTATCTTTATTAATAAACTTAAGTGTTACAATATTTTTTTTATTTCATTTCACAAGAGATAAACATTTTTACCTTGAAGTGGAACTATCCAAATCTCAGTTTCCTTTTAATGTGTAATGCAAATATATTTAAAAAAAAAATAATGTAAGAGTTGAAATTGATACAACTATCCATAAGCCAATTGACCAAAGAACGAAGATTTGCACAATTACAGAATGCATATGCCTGGTTCGGGTTTAAAAATAAACGACCGTTTAAATACAAAACATGAGAAGTGACAGTAAACAGTAAAAATCGATTTGTACCATCGACATGATGAAATTATGAGGTCGTCAAGAAATGAACTTTGTGATAATTTACTCGTTCCCCAAACCTGAAATAATCCCATCGTCTACTTTCAAAATGCTTTTTAAATGAATGGGACCGTCTTTAACCTAAAATATATGCCATACAGTTACTGAATGTTTCAGCTTGTTTATGGTGAGTAAACCTGCGTCTTACAAACAACTGTTTACTTTCAGTTTGAGTTTATCGTGACTTACGATCTAAAAACTAGAGATATTCTGAAATCCTATTTAGTACACAAAGATTCATACGCACCGCGTGGGTATAACCGTATAACTAATTTCCGATTTTTAAAATCTTCGTAAATCTGGATAAAGACCAGTTTCTATCCAATGGATATCAAAATGATTCCGATTTTCACTTTTTTTAATGATTGTAAAGTTGAAATGGCATGAAAGGCTGACATTATTTAAGAGAACTATTTTGTCTAGTGATTGCTGATCATTGGAGGGTAAAAAGTCCAACACCATAACTAAACGGATCTATTTATCATGTATACATACCGATTGTTTACGATTGTAAGACATGTGCATAAAAGTGAAAGCTCGAATAAATATGAAAAATATAACAAAGGAATAGCTCCAAATACCATTTAATAACAAAAAACATATGGACAGGTCAAGATATCTTTTTGGTAAATAAAATAAAGTATGTAAACTGGTTCCCGTCCGACTACAACACTTTGTTCGAGTGTAGCGTAATACAAGCAGATTCCAGTTAGTATGTAAAATAGTAAATATGAAACTGAGTGCAGTAGGCGGAGGCAATAATCGACTTCCATAAGTTCTGGTCAATGGTATCGGAAACATGCCGCTTATAGCGTCATTTTCCAAAAACTGCATTTTACCCTATGTACTATTTTTTAGCCATGTCGGCCATCTTGGTTAACGGGCGAGTCATCGGACACATTTTTTAAACTAGATACCCTAATGATGATTGTGGACAAGTTTGGTTAAATTTGTCTTAGTAGTTTCAGAGGAGAAGATTTTTGTAAAAGATTACAAAAATTTACGAAAAATGGTTAAAAAATTGACTATAAAGGGCAATAACTCCCTAAGGGGTCAACTGACAATTTTGGTCATGTTCGACTTATTTGTAGATCTTACTTTGCTGAACACTATTGCTGTTTACAGTTTATCTCTATCTATAATAATATTCAAGATAATAACCAAAAGCTGCAAAATTTTCTTAAAATCACCAATTCAGGGGCAGCAACCCAACAACGTGTTGCCTGATTGGTCTGAAAATTTCAGGGCAGATAATTCTTGACCTAATGAACAATTTTACCCCCATGTCAGATTTGCTCTAAATGCTTTGGTTTCAGAGATATAAGCCAAAATCTACATTTTACCCCTATGTTCTATTTTTAGCCATGGTGGCCATCTTGGTTGGTTGGCCGGGTCATCGGACACATTTTTCAAACTAGATACCCCAATGACGATTGTGGCCAAGTTTGGTTAAATTTGTCTCAGTAGTTTCAGAGGAGAAGATTTTTGTAAAAGTTAACGGACGACGGACAACGGACGCCAAGTGATGAGAAAAGCTCACTTGGCCCTTTGGGCCAGGTGAGCTAAAAAGGAGGCCTTTTTTGGGCCTTATCGAACCTACTCCTTTATAATTTTAATATTTGGATTTTTAACCAATGGCTCCATCTTAAATATCAAGATTTCTTTGTTTTTGGGTTGCTGTCTCAATGGTTTTAACCCAATTTCACCCTTTATTCATACAAAACAATACATTTTATTTATACATACAAATATCACATCCATTTATACCAATCTGTAGTCCATTGGTACACTTGTCACACTTTAATCCAGTCATACCCTGTCTACACTGGCATTGACCAGTGCTCTGTTCACAATCTGTTCTTGTTGACCCATATCTATTACATTCACAACCTAAAATTATATTGTGTTTAATACAAAAAAAAATTTAAGAGATTGGTTATTGAAATACTACCAAAAAACTCAAAGGGTAAAAATATTGCTTTGAAAAAAATTATTTTTACTTAAAATAATACATATATGTAAATATAGTGCACATAATATAAGGTATATTATTTTAAATATTTGTCTGTAATTTTGTATACTCTCTAAAACTCTATTTATCGAGTTATTTCTTATCTATGAACACATTTTTGTGTTATGTTATAATCTTAAGTACCAATCTGCCTAAGAATCAGGCAGGGGTGAAAACATGACAACAAAATACCACTCAAGTTGACATTAATTTATGTTCAAATTGTATAAAGATGCATGAATATAACATTCGTTTCCTTTTCCTGTTCTGGTAATTCAAGATATAATTTGGTTGAAATGTACTAGAAATTAACAATTAAGGGGAGCTAACTCCATAATTTGCTATCATTCTAACCAAAAGTTAACTAGAGATTTCTCGAATTACCAGATACGCAGAAACAAAAAACCTACCATTTCTAACTCAGGATGAGGGTAATTTCAAAATAGGACAGTTAGGTCGGTGGGTTTTTTTCTGCCATGTTTTGAAATTTTTCTAAATTGCCTGATTTTAACAAAGACAGTCACTAAATATTTCCCCTAACTATAATTCATTAATTTTTACATGTAAATATTTTTTCTCAAATCTTCATTCAAGAATTATAATGCAGACAGATCCTCTACAAGCTAGTTTCGGAAACTTGACCTGCCAATTGTTAACATTTGCATATTAGAAATTTCTAAATGAGTAAGCTTGCAAAGTCAAAATGTTGCAACAAAAAACAATAAAATAAGTTACATGTAGTTTAGGGTAAGGTTTGCATCAAAAGGAAAAAATCTGAACATTTATCTATCAACTATCTTGAAATATTGTACTAACGTGAACATCCATTTATGCCCTTTAGATTCCAGTATCCAGGGAGACATAAATTACACTTTGCTCCACCCACTCCATGTTTACATTCACATTTATTTGTATTTGGATGGCATGTGTTGTCAATGGTACCGTAGCGATTACATGTACATACACCTGAAAAATATATTAACTTTTCAACAGTCAAGCAAAATTATTTCTGTGGTAACCGAAGGTTTGGTAGTGTATACGTATCTCCTATGAATTTCTCTACTTTCAACAATATTTCAATATATCATAATTGTTCGTATTTACATAATTAGTTTTTAATTCAAAGAGGGGTTTGAATAAAATTAAAAAAAAAAAAGGAATCTTCATCCTTCTGACAATAGATCCATCAATTCCCAAAAATACCTCATACATATGGTTAATAAAATAACCTAAAAAAATCCATAAACAACAAGATATATTATGCACTATTGTGAAAAGTTATACACCTGCTACATGTTGTTTAATAACCTTTGACATGAAATTGTTGCTGAGACAAATGTGTAATGGACAGACGGACAGGGAGAAGTAATCCAGTACACTCCCCCTCTTAAGGGGTTGGGGTATAATTCAATGTAGATTATGTACATTATTGTTGCATACACACATCAAGAAACAAAAGACCTTTATAATGTGAAAGTGCTGTTTCTCCTTGTGCTAACAACAAGATCATTTAATGATATGCTCTCCTACTGATAATTTAAAACATGGAAACAACACCAATGAAAGGAAGAAATACAACAAACATAGACAACATATAAATACAGCCAATAGTTAGATGGGTTTTCCCTGTAAAAAATAAGACATTCATGGTTATTGTTAACAATTAGCATGGTTAATTTAAAAAAAAAAAACTATTATACAGAGCACAATCTTAATGCACATATTATTTTTTAAATGTTTTTATAATTTTCTGAGTATTTGACAAATATGTTATAGATTGACAATATTCAGTCAAATTGATGAAAACTTTGAAGAATAAAAAAAAGGGGGGGACATGAAGGAAATTAAAATAGAGAAACTCCAAATTTTCTTTTATAAAATCTTGAATTTATCCTTTATTCTGTTATGAAAAAGATATGGGGCCAAGATTACTCACTGGTACATCCATCAAAATTTGGTCCTGATGCTTCTGTAATTCCATCAGCACAACATCCATAAGGGGTCTTGCTACAATCTTCTATAACATCATTCTGAAATTCTTAAGTGTTAATAGCACAAGTGTAACACATAAACACACACACACACACACCAAAAACAGTGTCATTTACATAATACTCACAATTAAATGTATAATGAATTAAACAGTTAATAGATGATTCCAAACAATTATAAGTTAAATTTACTAGAGCTGAAGATAGAAACTTTTATAACAAAGAATCACCAGTTTAATTATTAGAATTTAAAATGACATCTTTCTAATCCAACATGTCTATTTATGACTGGACAACAGTAAAAACTGCTGTCCTAATTGCTTTGAAAAAATATAATTTAAATCATAATTCTCACAGTTGTTATCATGGTAAACAGAATTCAATTTTGATATTTGCTTGCATCAATTCATATGTTTGATATGTTTCATATTTGATGGCTGCAAACAACTGTTTTTCTCCATTTAAAGAGAATTACTACAAAATTAAAATGACACTTTATAAATTCAAGGTTGTATAAGTGCTTATATATGTACAAACTATTGAACAGGTTAATAAAATAACTAAAGAGACTTATCAGATTTTGATATCAATAAGTACTGTAAATTCAGAATTTTTTGTGATGTTTTTATATTGCAAAATGAAAGCTATGGCAAAAATAAAGACTTGCATTCTGAAATTAGATAGCATAATTTGGAATGAAGCCTTTCCTGAAATCGAAATAATAAAACTTGTGTCACTTGTCCAACAATAGCAAAAACTAGATATCATTGAGATGGGAGCCATCTCTGTGGGCCCTCCTGTGAATAATGTGTGGTAAATTTTTTTTATCTTTAACATTGGACATGGGGTTGTCAACTGAAACCAAAGTTTTTGACCTTGACCTTTGACCTAGGAAGTTGTACATAAATTATGACACACCCTCTGGTGTTGATTTGTATACATGTCAAGTATAAACTTTGAAATCATAACGGTTCTCAAGATATAGAGCAGACACAATCTTTACCATAGGACATGGGGTTGTCAACTAAAACCAATGTTTTTGAACTTGACCTTTGACCTAGGAAGTTATACATACATCAGGACTCACCCTCTGGTGTTGGTTAATATACATGTCGAGTATAAACTTTGAAATCAAAACGGTTCTCAAGATATAGAGCGGACACGATCTTTACCATAGGACATGGGATTGTCAACTAAAACCAAAGTTTTTGACCTTGACCTTTGACCTAGGAAGTTGTACATACATTATGACACCCCCTCTGGTGTTGGTCAATATATATGTCAAGTATAAACTTTGAAATCATAACGGTTCTCTAGATATAGAGCGGACACAATTTGCTACGGATGGACGGACGACAGACTGATCACTATAGGGCGTCTGCCATTTGGCGGGGCCCTAATAAATGACTGCAATAATTTCTGAATCTACAGTAAATATAACTCAAACGAAGGGTAAACTATAAATTGGTATTATGTATATACAGTTATGAGTCATTGTTTAATATCTCATATTTATAAATTACTTAATTTTGCTTGAAAATGAATTGTGTAAAATATTGACTTCAAAAAATAAGTATAAATAAATCATTTCTAAATATTTAAAGTAAACCGACAACATTTTGTTCACCCAAAAGTGTTACAATGATAAGAAAGTAAGAAATTTGTACATTTAACAGAAAACATCACTAAAGGCGTCAAAGAGATCATTTTTGATTTTTACAGGTAAAGTTTTCATGATAATTGCCAAAGATGCAAAATAATTGGTACAGATAATACTTTAAGGGCAATAACTCCAATAAGGAGTTAAATGACAACTTAACACCAATAAAAATAATGGTAGATCATCACATGATGGTGAATTGTTTGTTTTATCTGGTATAATTTTGTAGAGATAAGCCAAAACGTGATTTTGACTCCTATATTTCATTTTAGTCACATTAGCCATGTTTTTTGTGTGGTGTTCATACAGGAAACAATTCTAAAATAACAACCTTAAGGATGTTTGTGACAAAGTTTGGTCTCGATTGGCCCTTTTGTTTCAGAGGAGAATATTTTTTTAAAAGTTTAATAGATATAAGAAGATGTGGTATAAGTGACAATGAGACAACTCTCCATCCAAGTCACAATTTGTAAAAGTAAACTATTAAAGGTCAAAGTACGGCCTTCAACACGGAGCTTTGGCTCACACCGAACAGCAAGCTATAAAGGCCCCAAAAATGACTAGTGTAAAACAATTCAAACAGGAAAACCAACGGTCTAATCTATATCAAAAACGAGAAACAAGCAAGACAACAGAAATTCACAATAATGAGTACTGTGTTATTACAATAGCTTACTTTGATATTGTCTAAGGTAATCAGAAAACAAGAGGCTCTCAAGAGCCTGAATCGTTCACCTGTAATTTTTTGCTTAAATCTTTCATCAATGATTATTTTTGCTTTTCAATATATATTAATGAATGATTTAAAACTTCCACTGAAATGTTCTTTGTATCTGTCATATTTTCTTCAAAATCAAAGAAATGTATTTTACCCCTATGTTTCATTTTAGCCATAGTGGCTATGTTTCTTGACGTACAAGAAAATAAAATACAAAATTTATACAAGATACTCCGAAACTCATTCAGCCCAAGTTTGGCTGAAATTGATTCAGCAGTTTCAAAGGAGAAGATTTTTTAAAGTAAGCAAACTAAATGAACAAATTGTGAAAAATTGACTTTAAAGGGTAATAACTCCTTAAGGGGACAATTGACAATTTTGGTCATTCGAACTTATTTGTAGATCTTACTTTGCTGAACATTTTTGCTGTTTAAAGTTTATCTTTATCATTAATAATATTCAAGATAATAACCAAAATCTGCAAAATTTCCTTAAAATTATCAATTAAGTGGCAGCAATCCAACAATAGGTTGTTAGATTAATCTGAAAATTTCAGGGCTGATAGAACTTGGCCTAATAAACATTTTTACCTCCATCAGATTAGCTCTAAATGCTTTGGTTTTTGAGATATAAGCCAAAAATTGCATTTTAACCCTACGTTCTATTTTTAGCCATGGCGGCCATGTTTTTTTACGAAACAGAAAATAAAATACAAACTTTATTCTAGATACCCTAAGCATCATTCAGCTTAAGTTTGGTTGGAATTGGTTCAGTAGTTTCAGAGGAGAAGATGTTTGAAATAGTTTACACCAGACGGACGACGACGAAGACGGACGACGACAGACGCCAAGTGATGGCAAAAGCTAAAAATGATAAAAATTCCAGCACCATTTTTTACTATTAAACCACACACAAAACTGTATATGGTAAACTGATTCAAAGAAACATGAACATACAAAATCAATTATCAACAATAATATATAAAGTACCTTCTTTGCAGCATGTATGGAAATTAAGGTGACAGTAACTCTTTTCTGGGCAACTATTCTCCTCCGTACAGTAATATTCTAAATTGGTCACTGGATTAACCAATGGGGAAAACCCATCACATGACACTTCTTCCATTTCTTATAAAAAATGTTTAAATTTATAATCATTTGACAACATGATTACATCACACAAAAACAAACTAGATTTTCTTTATATTTATTAGCATCATTGTTAAAGCAATCAAGAGCTATAACTCCTGAATAGCATAAGTGGAAAATCTTTAAATTAAAAATGATATCCTTTTGTTATCAAACACAACATATTACAATTTGAAAATAATTGGTTAAAATTTCTCAATTTATTGCATGGAAACTACATAAAACAAATTAATTAATCAATCAAGGACCATAACCGAGTTTATTTGGAATGGACCTAATCCCCACTAAGCTTTACTCAATGACCTCTTCACATTCTGTTTTGATTACTCTTTATTGTTTTAGGTCTGTCTTATTGAAAGTTACCATGTTTTTTATTCATATTCTATTTTTATAATTTTATAACCAGAGAGGAGCAAAAACATACATACCATTACAATTTTCTAAATCAATTTTGACAATTTCTTTCTGTTGTAAACAGGCCTCTTCTTGCAACTGACACAAACTACCATAAGTCTTCCCATCAGATCCACAAACTGTTTGTCTACAAAATTGGAAATTTTTCAAACTTCAGTTTATTTCATGTGTTTTTTAATATTTGAACTTGTCTCTGGGACAAATTTCATGACATACTATGTCTCAATTTTCAATAATGTAGTCCCATGCTCATTGTTTATGTGACGTCTACATGATTATTATTGGTAGTGCTAGATTACTAAGCAAACATTACAGCATTTTTCCATGAAATTGTTATTAGCATAGAGGAAATTGTTATATAGCACCTTGTAGAATAGACATTTATAGAAGCAAGACAAATCAATATTTGATATATACTGTAAACTCAGAAATTTCTGTGTGCATATATTGTTGAGCATTAAAAAATAATAGAATGTGTCCATGGGACACAGATGATGCCCCGCTTACATATAATGTTATAAAGGGGCATAACTTGAGAACGGTAAAAGTGATGCCACCCAAATTCAAACTTGATCTGTGTTTTGTGGTATGAAGCATTGTGAATAAGTTTCATAACATTTGGCTGAGGCAAACTAAAGTTAGAGAAAGGAAACCAATTTGTCCACTGACGGCGGCGGCATATAAATATGAGTTTAGGTATAACATTTCATAAAATGCTGCGTACAAACAATGCTATCAAAATATAAAATGCAAGGTTTTACTTTTGTGATACATATCCCTTCACAACTTATGCAAAAATTTCTGAATTTACAGTATCTAAACATTAGAAAAATCTGTTCAAGATCGATGGCTCTTTTCATAAAAAATCTTATGATTGAAATTGATTGTAAGTTATACTGAATTGATCATAGCTTACACATATTTTTATTGTAAAAAGGTTTTTTGCAAAATTAGTCGCAGGATAATAGTGAATGTTTGTTTAGAATCAGGCTTATGGCTAATGCTAATATTCAGTGGTAAAAAACACTACTTAACAATTTATTTTTAAATCCCTCTCTATTGGTAAGCTCCGTAAGTGAGTGGGAGTATTGTCTAAATAAAGAATTTATACCAATGCCATTTTTCATGAAACTTTCTTATGAACAATTTTAATTATGTAAACAATAAACATTCTTTCCTGGATCTCGAAAAAATTAATCATTAAAATAACAAAATTACCAGATGAGCGGAAATCCCAAATTCCCGCAAAAATTAAGGCCCTAATCCCGACATCCCGAAACAAGAAGCTCATGAGAGCCTGATATCGCTCACCTACAATTTCAGTTTCGGGCATTTGACTTATTTGTAGATCTTACTTTGCTGAACAATTTTGTCATTTACACTTTCTCTCTTTCTATAATAATATTAAAGATAATACATAACCCAAAACTGTAAAATTTCCTAAAAATTAACTATTTCTGGACAGTAACCCAACCATTAGTTGTCCTATTGGTCTGAAGATTACTTGACAGGTAGATCTAAACCTGTTTAACACTTTCACCTATGTCAGTTTTGCTCTTACTGCTTTAGTTTTTGAGATGAAAGCCAAAAACTTCATTTGACCCCTATGTTCTATTTTTAGAAACTGCCGCCATGTTTTTGAATGGATCAAATCTCTAAATACAATCTATAAACTAAATACCCTAAGGAACATTCAATTAAAGTTTTAAGTATTTGGCCAAGTAGTTTCAGAGAAGAAGATTTTTGAAAAAGTAATTAGGCTTTCACAAAAAATATTAAAAAAAACTTTTTAAGGGCAATAACTCCTGAAGGGGTCAATTGACTATTTTGATCATGTTGACTTATTTGTAGATCTTACTTTGCAGAACATTTATTTATACTTTCTCTCTATCTATTATAATACCGTATAGCGGGTTATTTTCGCTGGGTGTTTATTTTCGCTTATTTTGGCGGATAAACAAAAATCGCGAAAAATAAATTCCGCTAAAATTTATGCATACGTTGGGTAGTTTCGAAGTTAACATGGCTAAAGGATTTTGTAAACGATCTATTTTTTTCCTGTCGGCAGGTCAATAACGAATTATGTTATTTTTAACAAGATAAATGCTAAAGGGCATTGTACATAAATGTATTTTATAAAATGACTATACCCTTATTAATAAGTGTCAATTAGAATAAGAGTGCAAGGTACTCTTATCAGGTAATAACCCTTATTAATTAGTGTCAAACTATATAAAACACTCATGATAATTTTGTAACCTAATTAGTAAGTACATCAAAGGTCTGGTAAATTTCGTAACTAATCAATCGTAAAATTTACAAGAGTTTGAATACCTGTAACAAATAGTTAAGTTAGCGGTATTTTAATGATTAACTGTATCAGAATTTAATCAATGAATAAGAGGTCATTCCGGTAAAAACCATAACAATACACACTTTGTCAAGTTTTACAACTTTTTAACTGCAACAATTTCAGTTTTCACCAAAAATATTTCATTGGGATTTAAGAATCCACCAAAATAAAAACCGCCAAATTTTTTCGTATACTTTGTTGCCCCTTAATCGCGAAAATTTACACCCACGAAAAATAACCCGCTATACGGTATTAAAGAAAATAACAAAAACAGTAAAATTAAATAAAAACAAGAAATGATTGTAACAGGATGCTGTTACGAAGTCTCCCAAACGAAGCTCCCATAATTCGTAATTCCCAGGGTCGCCCGACATTGGGCAAAGTCCACTTAAAATTGGTTTGGTCCAGTAAAGTTATATGCATCAGTGATGCCTGGGGACTAACCCTGTATATTATTTAAATCATCTTGGCATGACAAACCAGAATATATATGGTTTAGGGGTGGGGATCTCGACCATTTACAAGATACTAGAACATTGGGAGTGGGGGGAACCCCTGGGGACTGACCCTATACGTCATTCAAATGTTTGAGACATGACGAACAGGAATATATACGGTTTAGGGGTGGGGATCTTGACCATTTACAAGATATTAGAACATTGGGGGTGGGGGGGGGGGGGGGAACCCCTGGGGACTGACTGTATACATCATTCAAATGTTCGAGACATGACGAACAGGAATATATATGGTTTATGGGTGGGGATCCCAACCATTTACAAGATATTAGAACTTTCTCAAATGGCAGGGGGTCGGGATGACCCCTGGGGACTAACCCTGTATATCATTCAAACCATCTTAGCATGACAAACCAGAATATATATGGTTTAGGGGTGGGGATCTTGACCACTTACAAGGTATTAGAACTTTCTTAAATGGCAGGGGGTGGGGTTGACCCCTGGGGACTAACCTTGTATTTCATTTGATGTGCTTTATCATGACAAACCAGAATATATATGGTTTAGGGGTAGGGATCTCGACCATTTACAAGATATTAGAACTTTCTCAAATGGCATGGGTTCGGGATGACCCATGGGGACTAACCCTGTATATTATTCAAACCGTCTTCGCATGACAAACCAGAATATATATGGTTTAGGGGTGGGGATCTTGACCACTTACAAGATATTAGAACTTTCTCAAATGGCAGGGGGTCAACTTCACAACTTATGCAAAAATTTCTGAATTTACAGTATCTAAACATTAGAAAAATCTGTTCAAGATCGATGGCTCTTTTCATAAAAAAATCTTATGATTGAAATTGATTGTAAGTTATACTGAATTGATCATAGCTTACACATATTTTTATTGTAAAAAGGTTTTTTGCAAAATTAGTCGTAGGATAATAGTGAATGTTTGTTTAGAATCAGGCTTATGGCTAATGCTAATATTCAGTGGTAAAAAACACTACTTAACAATTTATTTTTAAATCCCTCTCTATTGGTAAGCTCCGTAAGTGAGTGGGAGTATTGTCTAAATAAAGAATTTATACCAATGCCATTTTTCATGAAACTTTCTTATGAACAATTTTAAATTATGTAAACAAAATGTTTTTCAAACAAGAGGGGGATAGAAGGGGTGTCATCTCAAATTTCCATTAAAAAACACTGAATCAAGAATTCCCCAAAAAATAAACATTCTTTCCTGGATCTCGAAAAAATTAATCATTAAAATAACAAAATTACCAGATGAGCGGAAATCCCAAATTCCCGCAAAAATTAAGGCCCTAATCCCGACATCCCGAAACAAGAAGCTCATGAGAGCTTGATATCGCTCACCTACAATTTCAGTTTCGGCATTTGACTTATTTGTAGATCTTACTTTGCTGAACAATTTTGTCATTTACACTTTCTCTCTTTCTATAATAATATTAAAGATAATACATAACCCAAAACTGTAAAATTTCCTAAAAATTAACTATTTCTGGACAGTAACCCAACCATTAGTTGTCCTATTGGTCTGAAGATTACTTGACAGGTAGATTTAAACCTGTTTAACACTTTCACCTATGTCAGTTTTGCTCTTACTGCTTTAGTTTTTGAGATGAAAGCCAAAAACTTCATTTGACCCCTATGTTCTATTTTTAGAAACTGCCGCCATGTTTTTGAATGGATCAAATCTCTAAATACAATCTATAAACTAAATACCCTAAGGAACATTCAATTAAAGTTTTAAGTATTTGGCCAAGTAGTTTCAGAGAAGAAGATTTTTGAAAAAGTAATTAGACTTTCACAAAAAATATTAAAAAAAACTTTTTAAGGGCAATAACTCCTGAAGGGGTCAATTGACTATTTTGATCATGTTGACTTATTTGTAGATCTTACTTTACAGAACATTTATTTATACTTTCTCTCTATCTATTATAATACCGTATAGCGGGTTATTTTCGCTGGGTGTTTATTTTCGCTTATTTTGGCGGATAAACAAAAATCGCGAAAAATAAATTCCGCTAAAATTTATGCATACGTTGGGTAGTTTCGAAGTTAACATGGCTAAAGGATTTTGTAAACGATCTATTTTTTTCCTGTCGGCAGGTCAATAACGAATTATGTTATTTTTAACAAGATAAATGCTAAAGGGCATTGTACATAAATGTATTTTATAAAATGACTATACCCTTATTAATAAGTGTCAATTAGAATAAGAGTGCAAGGTACTCTCATCAGGTAATAACCCTTATTAATTAGTGTCAAACTATATAAAACACTCATGATAATTTTGTAACCTAATTAGTAAGTACATCAAAGGTCTGGTAAATTTCGTAACTAATCAATCGTAAAATTTACAAGAGTTTGAATACCTGTAACAAATAGTTAAGTTAGCGGTATTTTAATGATTAACTGTATCAGAATTTAATCAATGAATAAGAGGTCATTCCGGTAAAAACCATAACAATACACACTTTGTCAAGTTTTACAACTTTTTAACTGCAACAATTTCAGTTTTCACCAAAAATATTTCATTGGGATTTAAGAATCCACCAAAATAAAAACCGCCAAATTTTTTCGTATACTTTGTTGCCCCTTAATCGCGAAAATTTACACCCACGAAAAATAACCCGCTATACGGTATTAAAGAAAATAACAAAAACAGTAAAATTAAATAAAAACAAGAAATGATTGTAACAGGATGCTGTTACGAAGTCTCCCAAACGAAGCTCCCATAATTCGTAATTCCCAGGGTCGCCCGACATTGGGCAAAGTCCACTTAAAATTGGTTTGGTCCAGTAAAGTTATATGCATTAGTGATGCCTGGGGACTAACCCTGTATATTATTCAAATCATCTTGGCATGACAAACCAGAATATATATGGTTTAGGGGTGGGGATCTCGACCATTTACAAGATACTAGAACATTGGGAGTGGGGGGAACCCCTGGGGACTGACCCTATACATCATTCAAATGTTTGAGACATGACGAACAGGAATATATACGGTTTAGGGGTGGGGATCTTGACCATTTACAAGATATTAGAACATTGGGGGTGGGGGGGGGGGGGGGGGGGAACCCCTGGGGACTGACTGTATACGTCATTCAAATGTTCGAGACATGACGAACAGGAATATATATGGTTTATGGGTGGGGATCCCAACCATTTACAAGATATTAGAACTTTCTCAAATGGCAGGGGGTCGGGATGACCCCTGGGGACTTACCCTGTATATCATTCAAACCATCTTAGCATGACAAACCAGAATATATATGGTTTAGGGGTGGGGATCTTGACCACTTACAATGTATTAGAACTTTCTTAAATGGCAGGGGGTGGGGTTGACCCCTGGGGACTAACCCTGTATTTCATTTGATGTGCTTTATCATGACAAACCAGAATATATATGGTTTAGGGGTAGGGATCTCGACCATTTACAAGATATTAGAACTTTCTCAAATGGCATGGGTTCGGGATGACCCATGGGGACTAACCCTGTATATCATTCAAACCGTCTTCGCATGACAAACCAGAATATATATGGTTTAGGGGTGGGGATCTTGACCACTTACAAGATATTAGAACTTTCTCAAATGGCAGGGGGTCGGGATGACCCCTGGGGACTAACCCTGTATATCATTCAAACCATCTTAGCATGACAAATCAGAATATATATGGTTTAGGGGTGGGGATCTTGACCACTTACAAGGTATTAGAACTTTCTTAAATGGCAGGGGGTGGGGGTGACCCCTAGGGACTAACCCTGTTTTTCATTTGATTTGCTTTATCATGACAAACCAGAATATATATGGTTTAGGGGTGGGGATCTCGACCATTTACAAGATATTAGAACTTTCTCAAATGGCAGGGGGTCGGGATGACCCATGGGGACTAACCCTGTATATCATTCAAACCATCTTCGCATGACAAACAAGAATATATATGATTTAGGGGTGGGGATCTTGACCACTTTCAAGTTATTAGAACTTTCTTAAATGGCAGGGGGTGGGGGTGACCCCTGGGGACTAACCCAGTATTTCATTTAATGGGCTATATCATTTAGAACATTTTCCATTAAAAAGATTGTGTCTATCACAAACGGTTTTCAATCTATAATCATTTGAAAATTTTAAAAAATAAAATCCCATAGGGTTCTATAGTAAAATCCTCTTTTCTTTTTGCCCCTCAAAGTACCCCTTTATAAACCCCATTGCACAAACAAAACCCTGATTGCACCACTAGACATGTTAGTCTAACATACTGTGAAACCCTAAGTTAATCTGACAAGCGGTTTTGGAGAACGGGTGCGGACAAGTTCAAATTTAAAAGCGGTGGAAGAAGAAGAAGAAGAATAATAATAATAAGAACTGAGCAAAAACAATAAGTCTTCCCAAACTTCGTTTGGGAGACTTAATAAACTATTTCCAACAGTAACCCAACAATGGGTTGTTGAACATGTCTGAAAATTTCATAACAGATAGATCATGACCCATTTATCACTTTAACTCCATGTAACGTTTGCTCTAACTGCTGTAGTTTTTGAGATATAAGCCAAAAACTGCTTTTATCCCCTAAGTTCTATTTTTAGCCATGGCGGCCATGTTTGTGGATGGATCAAAACTTCAGATAAAATTTACAAACTAAATACCCTAAGGAACATTCAGTTAAAGTTTGGAAGTATTTGGCCCCATAGTTTCAGAGAAGAAGATTTCTGAAGAAGAAATAGACTTGCACGAAAAAATGTAAAAAGATAAACGTTTCAAGGGCAATAACTCTTTAAAGAGTCAATTGACTATTTTGATCATTTGACTTATTTGTAGATCCTACTTAGCTGAACAATTTTGCTATTTACACTTTCTCTCTATCCATTATAATATTAAAGATAATAACCAAAAACAGTAAAATTTCATAAAAATAAACTATTTCGGACAGTAACCATCAATGGGTGGTCTAATTGGTCTGAAAATTCCAAAGCAGATATATTTTGACTTATTCATCATTTTAACACCATGTAAATTTAGCTCTAACTGCTACAGTTTTTGAGATTGCATTTGCAAAAACTGCATTTGACCCCTATGTTCTATTTTTAGCCATGACGGCCATGTTTGTTAATGGATCAAAACTACGGATATAATTTATAAACCAGTTATCCTAAGGAACATTCAGTTGAAGTTTAGAAGTATTAGGCCCGGTAGTTTCAGAGGAGAAGATTTTTAAATGTTAGCAAACATAATGAACAAATTGTTTAAAATTGTCTTTAAAGGGCAATAACTCCTTAAGGGGTCAATTGACAATTTTGGTCTTATTAACTTTTTTGTAGATCTTACTTTGCTAAACATTTTTGCTGTTTACAGTTTATCTTTATCTTCAATAATATTCAAGATAACCAAAAACTGCAAAATTTCCTTAAAATTACCAATTTAGTGGCAGCAACCCAACAATGGTTTGTTCGGTCCGTCTGAAAATTTCAGGGCTGATAGATCTTGACCTATTGAACATTTTCACCTCGTGTCAGATTTGCTCTAAATGCTTTAGTTTTTGAGATATAAGCCAAAAACTGCATTTGACCCCTATGTTCTATTTTTAGCCATGGTGGCCATGTTTGTTGATGGATTAAAACTTCGGATATAATTTATAAACTAGTTACCCTAAGGAATATTCAGTTAAAGCTTGAAGGTATATGGCCCAGTAGTTTCAGAGGAGAAGATTCTTGAAATAGTTTACGACGACGGACAACGACGGACGCCAAGTGATGGCATAAGCTCACATGGGGCCCCGGTGAGCTAAAAAGTTCTTCAAACAATAATAAGCTATATACATGAAGCTGAATGAATCGTTGTAACAAGTTATTTTTATGGCAATAATCAATATTTCATACCTGACAGCTTTACAGTTCTTGTTGCAATCACACCTATGACCAATGTGACCGTCTGCTACACATTTCCCACCAAATCTACAGTTCAAATCTTCCTCACAAATCAATAAAACTTCCTCATCACCAGAGCCTCCATCTGAGTTTTTGTTTTTATGATAAAAATTATATTTACAACATCAAAACAACATCAACATGCCAGGTTTAATAATACATTGTATATGCTAAACATAAACATGCAACTGTTGATTCGAAACTTAAATTATAAATTCACATGCAAATGAAGTTTCAGAAGATTTGTTAAAACATATTTTTTGGGGAGTATATTACCATAAAGATCAAAATGGAAATAAATTAAAGTCTATACAAATTTGGTTCAACAAAGGTCTTTAAATAGCTTTTTAAATACAAATTATATGGATTTTCACTCTTATGTTGAATGCCTAACAGTGACCAATCCTGTAAAAGTGTACATTTTCATTTTCAAATTCTTTCTGGTCTTTGATTTATAGTTGGCTCAATGACAACCATATCACATCTGTTAGTTTATGTTTTGAACACATACTGTTACAAAGGATCTTTTCTTTTTCTCAAAATAGAGAGCTCTAAACCTAATACAGGTTAACATTACCTCCAGAGGTTGAGCCCTCATGTTCATCTTCACATGAACCTAAATCTACTATCTGTAGATTGGTATTAAGTCTGCAAGCTTCCTTCTTCATTGTACATTCATTTATATAAGTCTTGCCATTGTTTGCACAAACCATTCTGACTGTCTCTGGACAATTTATTCTTGGGTCACATGTTTCTGAAATAATAGTTGCATTAATCAGTAGCTGTAGGTTTTCATCATTACAACAACTGGGGCTCCAGTGAGGGAACTCCCTAAAGTCACTAGGTCACTTTTACCCAAATTTGAAAACAAAGGTAATCCACACACAAAACACTTTTAAAGGTCACAGGTCCTTTTAAGGGCATACAATACAGAAAAGATCCCTCGTTGATTTTTTTTGTAAGATTTTGACACATAGTCAATTTTGATATACTGTATACCTAACAACAAAATTATTTTCATTTACCTGTGTATTATATTATTGTAAATGGCGGATTTTTGTTTAAGGTTATTGTTGTTTTTCTGAAATTGTTTAACATTTCATAGTGGTATAATACTGTTACTTTGATTATTCATCCCTTATTTTATTGATTTTGTATTTACATTGTGTCATAGATCAAATTTATTCGTTCAGTGTATGTTCACTTGTGTTAATATGTCTTTTGATTGATTTAAAGACCAAACAGCCTATTGTTGATGCGCATGGACTAACGCAACTTGGTAGTGACATAAAAGCTCTATGACGTTGTTTCTAGCCATGAAAAAAAACGTCAAATTATAACGTCCTATTTCGCGTTTTTCACGGATTCCAACATGGTGTACGCTTAAAACTACGTCTTCCAAGAAAAGTGGAATTAAGCGTCGCACTGATACCTAGTGGAAATTAAACACAAATGGACACAAAAGATACTACACTATCTGTAACCTCTGTTAAAAAAAAAATAATAGTAAAAATATAAATTTTGAACTTGGCTTTTTGCATTTGCGCCGATCTGCATTTCACTTTTTTTCTTTCACTTACGCCGATTTTGTCTTTCATTTGCGCCGATTGTGTACAGGTATATTATAGGTGAAAGTTATTTTTTTATTTATCATATCAACCTCTTCCGTTAGCCAGTTGTACATATGTTATGAATTGTCAATTATAACATGTATATAACTGTTGTCCCCTGCTCACAAAGGGGAGGTGGGAGTAGAATTTCAAGCAGGATAAGTCAATTTAAAAGATATTTGTGCACTCTGTTTACATCCACTAAAATCACGGAGTAAAATTCTATTTACAGCATTTCAAAGCACCACAATAAAATCCATAAAAATGTAATACTAGTACAATGAATTATTATCTTGCCGAGAATTTATATGCCACACATCTGATATATAATTCTTTCTTGTCATTTTATCTTTTCTATACTTGTTGTACTTGCCAATAACGAAATCCATCTTTTCTTTCTCGTGTCAAAACGAAGTTCTCGAACAGTATGACCAAAATTATCTTAAACATAAGGGAACACTATTTATATCCATATATTACCATGCAATATACATTCTAGGTTTACTACATGTACATGTATTTACTCGTATAGCAAATAAAGTATCGGGGCTAGTGATAAAAAAAATAAAATAGGCGCTAATGAAAGAATCAAATCGGCGAAAATTAAAGATCGAAATTTTTTTTAAATCGGCACAAATCTTGTACGCCCGTGTAACTTTACACTGGTAGATTTATATGACTTACGCTTAGAATTTTAACTTAATATGTGATTTTCAAAACTGAGTTTTCAGAAGGTTAGGCCGATAAATAATACTTTCTAGAAGTTTCGATATACTGGCAACGTATGCATGATGAGATTAACTTATTTCTTTAAGATTCTCGTAAATTAATGGTGATCTTGCAATGAAGTTAAATTTTATCCATACTGCTTAATTGACAAAATCTTATAGTAAAAATAAAAATGATAAAGGTACATTGTATTTTGTCTTTTGTTTCATTTCAAATTGTCTCAAGGAGAAATGATAAAAATATAAGAAAATTAATATACTGAGTGAATGTGAATTAAAATAAAAATTTACGGTTTTTAAAACTAAACTTGTTGTAAATTTTATAACTTATGACAAAAACAATTGCTTCAAGAATAAGATCCAACATAAAATTTCTCACTTTCAAAAAGCTACAATGACCGGAAAGATTGAAAATAAATTTCGAATTTCAATGCCGGCAATCCGGCTATACATACAACCTTGTCTTTGTTTTAATTTCCAAGGTGAGCTATTTAGATTCATAATATTTCATCCTGTTTTGAGAAATACTTTATAGTTTTCAACGGAAAATTATTTCTTAGATTCTAAATCAATTTTTGAATTAAAAACTTATTTGTATTTTATATTTACTGTCTCGTTTATTCAAAACATGTGAGGTAGTAATAACGGGGGTCGTATTTTATGATAGGTTAAATGGATGTAAAACGTTTTAGAATCAAAAACTTGAATTCATATATTATACCTATAATTTTAATTTTCTTATATTTTAAATATTTGAAGAAATAATATATCCACAAACTAGATGGAATAATTTGTATACGCTCGTTTTAGTCGGGACACATAATGGTATAAAGAAGTCCGTCCGTGCTAATGTCTGTCCGTCTGTCAATAGTAGCGAAAGTGTGCGCTAGGGCGAAGTTCTGAAATTGACGTGACAAAAAAACCCACACATCTAGTCTAATATAGTCAAATAGTCTGTAAGTAATCATCTTTCATTTCTCTTTTTATTTTCAATGAATTTGCTAATGAGATGGAGAGGACAAAAACAGACTTTCCTTTCTAAAGCGTCGTAAAAGGTTATTTCGAACAATTTTTCACTCCGACGGATGGTGTTTCTGAAGGTTAATTTTGTGCGGCAACAACATCATGAGATCTGATACTGATACATACATGTGATCGCTTGTATTACCGGATAATAAAGTAGGTGAATATAGTTGTTATTCTTGATTCTTGAAAATTTAAATGTGGGTTTCAAACGTCCAATTTGCAATTTTTTTTCAAACCGTGCGCCAACAAGGAAAACTTGTACTATGACGTCAGATTCAATGTTCTGAAGAACGACAACTCTTTTCTTCAAAACGAACGAGAAAAAAACATGAAAATTAATCATAACTTTTTTGAAAGTCGATGACATATACATTTTTTTGCTTTATTTTGAAGAGTACACATGGCACTTTCTTTCTTGAAATTTTTATGAAAAAATCACTGGTAGATATTTTTTAATACTTGAAACTTTTTCAGTCTTGCGTTTTATTTTTGGCGGGAATGAAATAAATCATATTTTTTAAGATCAAAACAATAAGAGTCTTAAAGTCTTGAACCTGTATTTGATAGACACAAATCTACTGTTTAACATGAGACAAGAATTATGCTTGTAGGTTTGATATAATGGTATTTTTTGAGAGTTTAAATAACAAGCAAATATCATGTTAATATTCGGGAAAACACGAAACTGAGGTTGCTATAGTGACAAAACTAAGTCGGTGACCCCCAATTTTTTTTATCATATTTTGTTCCTCAAAACATGAAATACCTTCACACAAAATTTTAAGGAAAAATCACTGGTAGAACTGAATAGGCTGTTTGGTCTTTAAGCCATTTCAATTGATATTTTATAGTGTGTCTTTCTTTGTTGTGATGTTACACTATTGTTTCAGATAAGGGTGAAGGTTTGGTACCAATAAAACGTTTAAACCCACTGCAATTGTTTGCACCTGTCCTAATGTTCAGTAGTTGTCGTTTGTTGATGTGGTTCATAAGTGTTTCTCGTTTTTTATATAGATTAGACTGTTTTAACCTGTTTGAATGATTTTACACTAGTAATTTTTGGGGCCCTTTATAGCTGGCTGTGCGGTGTGAGTCAAGGCTCTGTGTTGAAGACTGTACTTTGGCCTATAATGGTTTACTTTTATAAATTGTGACTTGGATGGAGAGTTGTCTCATTGGCACTCATACCACATCTTCTTATATCTATCTAAATATGCAAAGCAAAATATACCTGACCATGACTTACTTTTCTAGATATTTAAGCATTTTTTTTTTATGTAAAAACACAAAATTTCATTTTTCAATACTTTTCCTAAAAAAATAGCACAACTTTAGTAAAGAGTTAGTTTTTTTTCCAAAGTGTTACTTAATTTATCTGCCTTTAAGTAAGTCCCTTTAATAAATGAAGGCTGAATGAGATTAAATATTTGTGAAATCATTCAATTATTGGTAATAAAAAAAACCTAGACAATTTTCTTGCCAATACATATGTATACAAAAAAACATTGATTTCTTCTTGCCATTGTGATATAACATTTTGAAGCAGTACATAATAGATTGCAAAAGACAAAATGGGGCCCATGTGCCAATTTTTTTTAGCTAGAAATAGAAAACCTAGTTTTTAAATGCCGGCAATCCCATTTCCCTATTTTGGTACTAAATTACATCCCATTGTATTCTTAATGAAACATTGTATTCTAAATATATACCTTCACATCTGCCATTATGTTGTATTGTCAAATCTACTCTCCGTCTACACCCCTCCTTCATCATCTCACACTTGTTTCTGTATGTCCTTCCATTACTTCCACAGATTGGATCTCCATGTAGTGGACAGCTTCTAGGACATACACAGTGGTCATTTCTACAGATCTCTCCAAACTTACACCTCCTTCTTCTACACATCGCTACAAAATAACATTCAATATTACTGTGGATTCATTTATTTTCGTGGGTACCAATTTTCGTTGATTCAGGAAAACTTGCATTTTCGTGGATATTTGATTTCATGGTTTTTCAAAAGTGTGCATAAATTCCAAAAAACAAAAAAATTCTTATTCGTTGGACATTTAAGTTCGTGGTTCCCCGGTAACCACGAAATCCACGAAAATTGGTATCCAATGAATAATAATGAATCCACAGTAGTATCAAATGTGTGATAACTTATAAAAAGAAGGAAATTGTATGGGTAATACAACCAATGGCAAACCGTCATGCTGTATCAGCAATCCATGATGACATCAATATCAGTCACAGTTACAAAGGCTTTATCAAACCCCTAATCTGTATGTCATGTGACATGAAAAATATCTACTTGGGGTATATGATAAAGTGTATATGATATGGCTTTTTCAACATCACACTTCGTATCAACCATCAACCAATATAAACCTTGAGCAGAGCTCTTGGGATAATATTAGTGACTGCGGTTGATAGGGGAGTGATATTGAAAAAGCCATTAATTCTCTATACATCACTACAATACCAATAAGAATTTAATATCAGTATCAAACCCATATTTTCCTATGCTTTTTATGTACATTCTATACATTTATAGACCTATTTCCCAAATTGTTAATTTTTGTTCCTATTGAATTAAAAAAGCTATATATATATATCATTATTTTGATATTCAGACTCAGTTGAACAAGTTCTAAATGCATACCAAATTTCATCAAAATCAAAAATTATGTATACTGGTGTAAGTAATATTAATGTCTGAGAAAAATCATGAAATTTATATTTATTTCTAATGAAGCTACAGGCCTATTTTGAGTCCAGTTCCTCCTTTTCTTTTTATAATTTTGTACTTAAAATTAACACCTTTCATAATTATGAATGATTAATTGTTGTTTTACACTACTTTCACCACTCTTTTTTATTGTTTTTATTGGTGGGAAAAACCTGAGTACCGGGAGAAAACAACAAGATTCGGCAGTAAAACTGGCAATACTAGTCAATCTAAAGATCATAGTCAGATGCACCTTGCAACAATTTTGGTAAAAACTCACAACTTCAGGGTTGACAGGCTATTGATCACTGTAGATTAACTACAAAGACCATTCAGCCACCGAGGACCCTACACTTCAATGAATTGACACTGTAGATGCCATTGTAAGTATCCTACACATATTATTGAATTGACACTATACATACCATTGTAAGGATCCTACACATAATGAATTGACACTATACATACCATTGTAGGGATCCTACACATATTATTGAATTGACACTATATATACATACCATTGTAAGGATCCTACACATATTATTGAATTGACACTATACATACCATTGTAAGGATCCTACACATAATGAATTGACACTATACATACCATTGTAAGGATCCTACACATATTATTGAATTGACACTATACATACCATTGTAAGGATCCTACACATATTATTGAATTGACACTATACATACCATTCTAAGGATCCTACACATATTATTGAATTGACACTATACATACCATTGTAAGGATCCTGCACTTAATGAATTGACACTATACATACCATTGTAGGGATCCTACACATATTATTGAATTGACACTATACATACCATTGTAAGGATCCTACACATATTATTGAATTGACACTATACATACCATTGTAGGGATCCTACACATATTATTGAATTGACACTATACATACCATTGTAAGGATCCTACACATATTATTGAATTGACACTATACATACCATTGTAAGGATCCTACACATATTATTGAATTGACACTATACATACCATTGTAAGGATCCTGCACATATTATTGAATTGACACTATACATACCATTGTAGGGATCCTACACATATTATTGAATTGACACTATACATACCATTGTAAGGATCCTACACATAATGAATTGACACTATACATACCATTGTAAGGATCCTACACATAATGAATTGACACTATACATACCATTGTAAGGATCCTACACATAATGAATTGACACTATACATACCATTGTAAGGATCCTACAAATAATGAATTGACACTATACATACCATTGTAAGGATCCTACACATATTACTGAATTGACACTATACATACCATTGTAAGGATCCTACACATATTATTGAATTGACACTATACATACCATTGTAAGGATCCTACACATAATGAATTGACACTATACATACCATTGTAGGTATAGAACCACTAATTCAGGCCCGGTCGGAAAGAACATACAAGAAAGTAGTACATATTTTAAGCAAAATAGTTCCTACGCATAGCTGCATCTTTGTCAATAGTGGAAATATTTGGGTAGTTTTAGTATCAAATGAAAGGTTGGGGACTTGGGGTCACTGTAGAACCCTTGTTGAAAGTTTTATTTGAATAATAAAGAAGTATAGGAAATTTTAATAGGAGGGCTCATTTGGCCTGTTGTTCAGATCAGAAGTTCCTGTTTTTGTACTATCAAACTTCCGGGAACCAGTACGCTCTAATATGCAATTAAAGGTATGTTGATTTTTTCAGGACAAGTCAGCATAAGGTACAGTTTAGACATGAAATAACTGCCACTTTATTTGAAATTAAGATAAAGTAGCCATTTATGCTTGAAATTGCAGAATTTAACATAGAAAACAACGGGGCTATGAATTAGTGGTTTTATACCTATTACTGACAGGCATGTGAAATTCTATTTTTAGAAATCATACCCTTTACAGTGAAAATTGGTCACATTTGTTGTCAGAAATCATGTTACATTATTTTTTTTATGTAACAATTATTTTAGTGTCAAATTACAGCCCTCAAATTACTACAAGAAGGTATTTTAGCCTTTTTTGGTCATTTAGCATACACACAGTTAAGATTTTACCTGAAATTTAAATTTTTGGATTATCTAACACTGAAACCAATGAAACTTGTATATTATGACTAGTTTATAGTATAAATATTGTTTTTGGTCATATTATCTAGTGAGTGTTCATGTTTTATTGTGTTTCTTGGTGAATTATTTATTTCAAGGATTATTGGTGTATACTTATATAGGAATTCCAAAATCTCACTTGAAATGCATTTTATGACCATTTTAGCAAGTTGTCTAGCTTGGAGATACATAAATTGCTCTTGTTGATCCATGTTTATACATAAAAGTATGGTTTTTTTTACCAAATCACTCTCCTTTTCCAACATGTAGAAAAAAGGGGGGACAAAATTATCAATTATATTTTATGTTTGGACCACTGTATTTATATTCAAGGAAGAATCTCTGATAAAAATAAGACATATAGGTAAGAATACTGTTATTTGAGTAGATATTAACAAATCAGAACTGGTAAAAATTGAAAAAGTGTCATATCTGTCACTATTAGTATACATATGTAGTTTTCTTTGTTTAACGCATATGTTAATACCAGTCCAATTTGAGCTTGAATTCAGTGATATAGTGTTTTGACAAAAGCTTTATGTGTTTTTCTATGCTAAAAATAGATCATAGAAGGAAATAAAGTCAAGCAGAAGTCAATATAACAAAGTTGGTGCTGTTATAGGTATAGAACCACTAATTCAGGCCCGGTCGGAAAGAACATACAAGAAAGTAGTACATATTTTAAGCAAAATAGTTCCTACGCATAGCTGCATCTTTGTCAATAGTGGAAATATTTGGGTAGTTTTAGTATCAAATGAAAGGTTGGGGACTTGGGGTCACTGTAGAACCCTTGTTGAAAGTTTTATTTGAATAATAAAGAAGTATAGGAAATTTTAATAGGAGGGCTCATTTGGCCTGTTGTTCAGATCAGAAGTTCCTGTTTTTGTACTATCAAACTTCCGGGAACCAGTACGCTCTAATATGCAATTAAAGGTATGTTGATTTTTTCAGGACAAGTCAGCATAAGGTACAGTTTAGACATGAAATAACTGCCACTTTATTTGAAATTAAGATAAAGTAGCCATTTATGCTTGAAATTGCAGAATTTAACATAGAAAGCAATGGGGCTATGAATTAGTGGTTTTATACCTGTAGGGATCCTACACATATTATTGAATTTACACTATACATACCATTGTAAGGATCCTGCACTTAATGAATTGACACTATACATACCATTGTAGGGATCCTACACATATTATTGAATTGACACTATACATACCATTGTAAGGATCCTACACATATTATTGAATTGACACTATACATACCATTGTAAGGATCCTAGACATATTATTGAATTGACCCTATACATGTCAACGTATATTTGTTCCGCCTAACAGAAGTTCCACTGGAAACTTTGTTATAAACAATGTCATAATATCTGTTCCTATTGGAACAAATACTCTATACCATTTATTCCATTAGGAACATTTACTGTAATATTTATTCCAGTGGAAATAATATTCCAGAATATTGTTTCCATTTGAAACTTATATTATGAAGGAACTTCTATTCCGTGACATACATACCATTGTAAGGATCCTTCACACATTCTCCATCAGATGCCACTGTTATAAATGTAGAGTTCATACAGGAAGTTTTACGTAATTTACACTCGTTCTCATAAGTCCTTCCATCTGATCCACAAACCTTGGCAACTGTATTCTGCAAAACACAATAAAATTCTCTCTATGAATATCTACCAATTGATTATTATTTCATAATCTGATATGAATGTCGTGATGTATAAATGTAAAGAAGAAATTTAAGAACAAATTCAAGTATTTGAGAGTTTTGTATAATCTTAATTATTTAAAACCTTTCCATCACTCTTAAAATAACTAGTGCTGTTATAATAACAGTCTTCACTCTTTGGACAATCACATTTGGCAATACTATCAGAGAGATCAGAGGGTGAAATGTTATACAGCCAAACCTGTATTAAGCAGTTACTCATGGGAAGTGTCAAAAGTGACTGCTCAAGAGAGGTTACCTTTTAAATGAGGTTTCGAAAAAAAAATCCGATTGTGACATTGCACTTGGCTGGGATTGAATTTAATTATTTTAGTGTTTTCAAGTGGTAAAGTTATCGTTCGTGCGAGCAGACAAATATAAAATGGCGGATTCCAGTGCTCTAAAAAGGAAGAAAACCCTTTCACACGTTGGACAGACTGATATAGCATCATTACTAAAACAATCAAAAGAGTTGTAGCATTAAATAGCTACCCCCTTTATACTTTAAACATACACATCTAACATAAAACTTAAGAACCTTTGTGAGCATTCTCATATACCCCACACCCACACATTGTCACCGGACAAACACAATATCACCAGATTCCTAAGTTCAAAGACTCATAACTCCTACAAAAGTCAACTGATAAAAATATCTTCTGGATATGCACATCTACATATTATGTCATCATTAACTATATAGTTTCATGAAATTATTGTGTGGTTTCAGAAGTTGTGATGACAAGCTGTTGCAGTAGTATATTTAGGCCAAAATTTCAAAGGACCTTATGCCTAGAAAAAAATGGAATCATAATTTCCTGTGAATATGCACATCTACATAGTATGTCCTTATTATCTTCAAAGTTTCATGAAATTCTTTTGTGTGGTTTCAAAAGAATTGTGATGACAAGAACAGGACTGACTGACAGATGGATGGACAGACGAACAAGCGGACGAACTGACAGACAGGTAAAAAAACATTACCCGGTATAACCTAAGGGACTTTGTTGTGTGGGGTATAAATATATATACCTACCTCTTCACACGTTGGACAGACACATTTAGCACTGTTACCAGAACGATAACAAAAGGAGTAATGTTCACATGTTTCTTGTTTACCACAGCCATCTGAAAAAGTTTTGTAAATCTTGATAATATTTAGACTTGTTTATGTTACCTTATTTATGTTGGTTCAAATAAAAACAAATGCCTTGTATTTAGAACCAAAACTAACAAGTGAAACTGCGAGCTACTGCTCACTGATGATATCCCCAACCCAATATTTGACGGTAAACAGGAAGTTGTTAAGTGATGAATCTGAAAACGCATCACACCGTATAGCTGACTTATATAAACACTGAAACCAAATTTCAGAAATCCTTGTAATGTAGTTCCTGAGAAAAATGTGACGAAAATTTTCAACTTGGATGTGTTGTGTAAAATGATGTAAGTGTTCGGTAAATAGGAAGTTGTTGAGTGATCAATCTGAAAACGCATCACACGGTATAGCTGACTTATATAAACCCTGAAACCAAATTTCAGAAATCCTTGTATTGTAGTTCCTGAGAAAGATGTGGCGAAAAATTTTCACAGGACGGATGGACGGACTGACGGACTGACAGTCTGACAGATGGATGGATGGATGGACAGACAGAGGTAAATCAGTATACCCCCACTTTTTTAAAGCGGTGGTATAATTAAGTGTTTACTTTATTGCCTTTAATCTACAACCATAACCATATAAGTGTTCACTTTTATTGCTTTGAATTGACATCCCAAGCCATCCAAGTATAACCATAAATCAGGACATTTTTTTTTTGTGTGTGAATTGTTTCACATTGTGTCATGTTGAGGCCTTTTATAGCTGACTATAGGGTATGGGTTTTGCTCATTATTGAAGGCTGTACGGTGACCTATATTTGCCAACATCCAGGTCTTTAGTGCTCTAGTGGATAGTTGTGTCATTAGAAGACTTAAACTGCAATCAGTATCAAAGTGAACATAATATCACAAATCTATTATAGTATGAAGTATAAGTTATCCCAAGTCCATTATTAAAGCAAAGGGATATGTAAAATGTATTGTATTAATGTCTTGCCTATGATTGCTGCTGTCAGTGTAAAAGTGTAATGTTCACTTAAAAAGTGAATCCATTTATCAGTAAAATACAGAATAAAAAAAAAAAAAAAAATTTTCTTTAGATTCTATTTTTCAGTTTTCTGTTCAAGTTTCTTAACAATCCATGATGCTTTACAAATTTATCATGTCAAAAAAATGTAATCCCAGACTGTCTGTAAATGTTAACTGTAAAAAAACAGAGAAATACTAATAATAAAAATACATTTTCAAAAAATTGCTTCAGACATTATCTCTTAATCATAAACAAGAGGCTGTCAGAGTGACAGTAAACCGGATTTTTTAACTTTTCTCAGAAACTACTAAGTCATGTTATTTGTGTCCTGGCATTTTTCAATAGCACAAGGACCATAACTGCTGAACGGTAACAGTGACAATCATCAATATTGAACTTGACCTCCATTTTGTCATCAGTAACAACATATTAAAATTTCGGAAATCTGGTTAAAAAGCTTTTGTCAAAGCTTCATAAAATTCTATGAAGGTTTGACAAAGTACTTCATGTGTAACAAACTTTAACCCCAGACTGTATCTACTTGTTAACTGTAAAAAAAAACTAAGTCCATTTATCAGTAAAAAACGTGAAAATGAAAATAAATATTTTCAAAATTTTGCTCTGGATACTGTATTTTGTTCATTAACAAGCTTCTGTCCCAATTTCCTAAAACTCCATGAAGGTTTGACAAAGTTATTGCTGTCTAAAAAATTTTTAACCACAGACTGAACCTAAATGTTGAAGCCACCGATGCTGACGGCAAAATCTAGCATTGCTATGTCTCAATTTCGCTACATAAATGTCGCAGGCTAGACAAAAGGCGAATGAAAATGAATAGTCTGTAATTGTTTTCTCATTTTTTTTTATAAAACTGTTTTGGCACACAGATGAAGTTATAGCATCAATATAAAATGTATAGCACTCACTGCATATCAGGTGAGAAAAGGTTACCATGTACGGGGATTCATATTTAAAGTTTGTAAACAAATTTCTAAACTGCTGTTAAACTAAAAATTTGTCTAGAAATAGGAAATCTCCCACCTTGAACTGAACTGAAGTCTATTGCTATACTAGATTTAATTCTTTGACTTACTACAAAGTCCATCATGTTCCTTGATGATATTAGTTTTCTGATGACAATTGTATTCCTGGAGTCTACAGAAATTCTTGTATGTCTTCCCATCACTACCACATACCTGTGAAAATAGAAAGATATATTAAATCAATCCTCCATACAGATTTTAATATTTTAATATTACATACATCACTGGTTTTGTTTTTCTGTTAATCAAAGGATGATTTGGCAGTAGTGAAGTTAGTTAGCTACCCAATCACAGATTGGTCCTTTAATTTCAGAGGGAAAACGAGAGTTAACACAGAGATATGTCTTGCCTTTTTGTTGTTTTGATAGTAAAATGCAAATGTTGAAATTAAAATAGCAATACTTTAACATATAAGTTATGCAAAATATTCAAAGTCAATGATCCATGACTGAAGGTACAAGGCAAAATAATCTCCATGGAACTGAGATGTGCCAATGCTAATACAACTGCATACCAAATATCATTGACCCACCACCAATGGTTCACCATAAACTGACCTAATCACAAACTAAGACATTGTTGACACCGCAGCCGAAAACAGCATTTATATGTCCTGTTTTTTTACTCTACCAAGGCGAGACAATAATGAAAATGTACAAAGTTAATGGACAAATGAGGAAACCAAATGATTGAAAAAAGTTCACACTAGCTTCTAAGGAAAGGTGAGCTTAAAGACCTTCCAGGAAGTGTATGCATAATAAAAAACATTTTGACAATACTGACTGGTTCAAAATATCCATCCTGGCATTTATGTGGACATACACATGTTTCGACACCATTTTGTTTTACACATCTTGCACCATGCCCACATCGTGTCTTACAATGTTCTCCACCTGGAACAGAAGATAGAAGTCTTAGTCTTATTATAGGTATAACAGAAGTCATGTCTTACAATGTTCTCCACCTGGAACAGAAGATAAAAGACTCAGTCTTATTATAGGTATAACAGAAGTCATGTCTTACAATGTTCTCCACCTGAAACAGAAGACAGAAGTCTTAGTCTTATTATAGGTATAACAGTAGTCATGTCTTACAATGTTCTCCACCTGGAACAGAAGATAAAAGTCTCAGTCTTATTATAGGTATAACAGATGTCATGTCTTACAATGTTCTCCACCTGGAACAGAAGATAGAAGTCTTAGTCTTATTATAGGTATAACAGAAGTCATGTCTTACAATGTTCTCCACCTGGAACAGAAGATAGAAGTCTTAGTCTTATTATAGGTATAACAGAAGTCATGTCTTACAATGTTCTCCACCTGGAACAGAAGATAGAAGTCTTAGTCTTATTATAGGTATAACAGAAGTGAAGTCTTAGTCTTATTATAGGTATAACAGAAGTCATGTCTTACAATGTTCTCCACCTGGAACAGAAGATAGAAGTCTTAGTCTTATTATAGGTATAACAGTAGTCATGTCTTACAATGTTCTCCACCTGGAACATAAGATAGAAGTCTTAGTCTTATTATAGGTATAACAGTAGTCATGTCTTACAATATTCTCCGCCTGGAACATAAGATAGAAGTCTTAGTCTTATTATAGGTATAACAGAAGTCATGTCTTACAATGTTCTCCACCTGGAACAGAAGATAGAAGTCTTAGTCTTATTATAGGTATAACATTAGTCATGTCTTACAATGTTCTCCACCTGAAACAGAAGATAGAAGTCTTAGTCTTATTATAGGTATAACAGTAGTCATGTCTTACAATGTTCTCCGTCTGGAACAGAAGATAGAAGTCTTAGTCTTATTATAGGTATAACAGAAATCATGTCTTACAATGTTCTCCACCTGGAACAGAAGATAGAAGTCTTAGTCTTATTATAGGTATAACATTAGTCATGTCTTACAATGTTCTCCACCTGAAACAGAAGATAGAAGTCTTAGTCTTATTATAGGTATAACAGAAGTCATGTCTTACAATGTTCTCCGTCTGGAACAGAAGATAGAAGTCTTAGTCTTATTATAGGTATAACATTAGTCATGTCTTACAATGTTCTCCACCTGAAACAGAAGATAGAAGTCTTAGTCTTATTATAGGTATAACAGATGTCATGTCTTACAATGTTCTCCGTCTGGAACAGAAGATAGAAGTCTTAGTCTTATTATAGGTATAACAGAAGTCATGTCTTACAATGTTCTCCACCTGGAACATAAGATAGAAGTCTTAGTCTTATTATAGGTATAACAGAAGTCATGTCTTACAATGTTCTCCACCTGAAACAGAAGATAAAAGTCTCAGTCTTATTATAGGTATAACAGAAGTCATGTCTTACAATGTTCTCCACCTGGAACAGAAGATAGAAGTCTTAGTCTTATTATAGGTATAACAGAAGTCATGTCTTACAATGTTCTCCACCTGGAACAGAAGATAGAAGTCTTAGTCTTATTATAGGTATAACAGAAGTCATGTCTTACAATGTTCTCCACCTGGAACAGAAGATAGAAGTCTTAGTCTTATTATAGGTATAACAGAAATCATGTCTTACAATGTTCTCCACCTGGAACAGAAGACAGAAGTCTTAGTCTTATTATAGGTATAACAGAAATCATGTCTTACAATGTTCTCCACCTGGAACAGAAGATAGAAGTCTTAGTCTTATTATAGGTATAACAGAAATCATGTCTTACAATGTTCTCCACCTGGAACAGAAGATAGAAGTCTTAGTCTTATTATAGGTATAACAGAAGTCTTAGTCTTATTATAGGTATAACAGTAGTCATGTCTTACAATGTTCTCCGTCTGGAACAGAAGATAGAAGTCTTAGTCTTATTATAGGTATAACAGTAGTCATGTCTTACAATGTTCTCCACCTGGAACAGAAGATAGAAGTCTTAGTCTTATCATAGGTATAACAGTAGTCATGTCTTACAATGTTCTCCACCTGGAACAGAAGATAGTCTTATTATAGGTATAACAGAAGATAGAAGTCTTATTATAGGTATAACAAATGTCATGTCTTATTATTTATTTTACTTGTGGACTGAAAAGTTTATACAAATCCTCACACTGTTTTCTCTGGTGTAAAAAAATAGTAAGATTCATTCTCTTAACTTTTATTATTTTACATTAATATAACATTTCCTGAATAGTATTTTCAATTTCAGTACATAACAAATTCAATTGAATTGAATCATTAAAAATAAAAAATTATAAGGAACACCCTTCAAAAAATGGTAGGTACATACAAATAGGTGTGACGTACAGTGGAATAATAGAATAATAGAACCATTTGGTAATTGACAGAGGGAATGACAGGCAAAGTTGGAAAATATAGAATTTATTTGTGAGAGCTTTAAAAGACAGAATTTTGCAAAATAAATTGTGATAAGTAACATTTGGTCACAATTTAGGAAAAGATTTAGCACAGGAATGTGGCTACAAGTTGAAAATAAGCTTTGTCATCTGTGACATAGATTGCTTAGTCAGATATTGTACAACAGTAAACCTAATCATTATGGGGTCTGTAAAACTTTTAAAGGGATGACTTCTACTTTACTGCTTAGAACCCTTGGTTTTATGTTGTGCTTCCTTATAGGCAACAATCCTCCACCATGGATATCATAATAGGATTATAAGAAAGCCCTGGAATAACGTATCAACTGGAAACTATATTTGCAATTTGCACTACTGACATATTGCAACAGAGAAATGAAAAGTTAACCAATGGAAAATTTGAAATCATCTCTTTTGTTGTTGGTGTATAACCTTCATTGGCAATTTATGGATTTAATTCAAGATATTAAGCAGACTTATCTGTATCTGTTGTATGTTTAGTTATACAATTGGTTGATGTTTAATTATTTAAAATGTTGTTAACCAATCAATGTGTTTTGATGTATGCTTTATCACCCAGAATGCATATGTCTCTGAAACTGTGAATTGCAGCATAGGGAAAAGCACTGCAACTATTGGATACTCTAAAAAAACAGATCTTTACTGACTGCTTAATAAGTTTTTGAACAGAACAAAATTTATTGCAGTGCAAATTTTAATTTAATTTGATAGAATGATTGCATTTATTTCAAAATTTCTTGATTGAATTGATTAAGATAAAAATGGCTGATTCAGTTCCAAGTTAATGTATTACTATATAGCTTACTGTGGATTAATTATTTTCGTGGGGACCAATTTTCATGGATTGAAGAAAAATTGTTTGTTCCTGGATATTTGATTTTATGGTTTTGCAAAGAGTGTATACAAGCCAGGAAATCAACAAATATTGGTACCCCAGGAACAATAATACATCCACCGTAAGTTCTAATGTAAACAGAATTATTTCCCTTTACCACATGCTCCTAAATGCTTTATATCAACCACAGTTTTATTCTGGCAAGCTCTTCTCCGTAGTTCACACTCGTTATCGTAGGTCACATCGTCAGTACCACAAACTTTATTGATGACCAGCTGACAAGATGGCGGACATTCACAATGACCTTTGCCCTCATGGTCTATCCTACAGACTTCCCCATAGTCACATTTGATCAGTTTACAAGGATTGTCCTCTGCAAAGTGGGTAACATACATTTATTATAATAGACAAATCATTTATCTTTAGAAGAAAATGTGAAAAGATATCAATACTCTGGTAATTATGCAAAAATTTTTCCAGTATAAAAGCAGAAAAAAGATTAATTTTGAAACAATAACTAAATATACATTTCAATACATTTGCTTTGTAACATATTATTAGTTTTACACATGTAAGGCCTACTTTTGAACAGTATTTGATTATATCAAACTTAAATTAAATTTCATCAATTTTCCTTCAAACGTATTTATCTCTTGTTGTAGAAATATTTATATGTTAACAGTTGAACACCGTTTTTGTTGTTGAGATATTTATATTTTAATACAGCTGAACAAAATCTTTGTTGTACAGATAAATATGTGTTAACAGCTAAACATGATCTATGTTATAGAGGTATGTATGTATTAACAGCTTAACATGCTCTTTGTTGTAGAGGTATTTATGTATATTAACAACTATTTATGATCTATGTTATAAAGGTATTTATGTATTAACAGCTAAACATGATCTTTGTTGTAGAAATATCTATGTGTTAACATCTAGATGTGATCTTTGTTGAATAGGTATATATGTATTAATAGCTAAACATTATCTTTGTTGTACAGGTATTTATGTATTAATAGCTAGATATGATCTTTGTTGTAGAGGTATTTATGTATTAATAGCTAAACATGATCTTTGTTGTACAGGTATTTATGTATTAACAGCTAAGCATTATCTTTGTTGTACAGGTATTCATGTATTTACAGCTAAGCATTATCTTTGTTGTATAGGTATTCATGTATTAACAGCTAAGCATTATCTTTGTTGTGGAGATATTTATGTATAAACAGCTAAACATGATATTTATTGTAGAGGTATTTATGTTTTAACAGCTGTTTACCATTTCCTTTTTAAAATATATACCTCCAAGGATTTATTGTGAAAGTCTGTTCAGTAAAATCTGGTTACATAAGTAAACAGAAAATCTAATGAACTCTGGATCATTGTATCACAACTGTTGATGGCAGATCTTAATAATATCTATTAAACACATTCACAAATTTTCTATAATAAGATTGATTTAGAGCTTAACACTGTATTCACATTAAGCCTATTGTTACATTAACACTGTATTGACATTAGCCTGTTGTTACATTAACACTGTATTGACATTAGCCTGTTGTTACATTAACACTGTATTGACATTAGCCTGTTGTTACATTAACACTGTATTGACATTAGCCTGTTGTTACATTAACATTGTATTAATTGACATTTGCCTGTTGTTACATAAAGACCATATGTTGATCCCTTAAATAGTTGTTGTCTGTTTGTGTTGTTAGATTGCTGGGTTATTGATGTATACCTAACATCTCTAGGATTCATATTAAAATTAATTGTGCTGGAATTTGAAGAAAATTGCTAGATTGTTTACATATTGTTTGTAACTGCCAACTAGTACAATATACGATATTATCTGCAAGAGATCAATTTGTTTTATTTCAACTATCTAAACAATTTAAGACATGGATATATCAGTATACAAGTGAAATTTCAGTTTAATTCCTAATTTAGTCTATAATATCTCTTGAAAAATTTTACACATCCCGACATTAATTGCAAGAACATTAGTCAACAGTTGAGTGCTGTAAATAAAGTTTGACAGAGTTGACTAAAATGTAGATTCTTGTCCAACCCTAATAAAAAGATGTGGGAGTAAATAACTGACTTGGTTAAGTAAACAAACTCTCTAAATACTATTGAATGTCTACAGGAGTATTTATTGTAAGACCACAGAGTGACCGTGGCTTTTTCTTTTAGGTTTTTTCTCATTTACATTTATCCCAAATCTATCTCAAATTTTTTATCATATCAAAACCCCAACCTCAAGATAAAAATAAAATGTGAGGCAAAAATGGTAAAACAGATATGAGATCATTCTAGATTGTAAATCCATTTTATAAATAGACATAACTCACAAAGACTATAGTAAACTTTTCAAATATTGTTACATGGGAAATGTTTGCAAGGGGTTTATTTTCTCTAATTTCGATAAAAACAATTCTATCACAAAAATATTCCCTCAGTTAATTTCTTTTTGAATAACAATTCAGAATCAAGAGCCTGAAAATCTTGGAAAAAAAAACCTTTTGAACAACTTTGGCTCTTCAAATTGGGAAGTTTAATCTCCGAGAAAATAAGCTCCTTTACAAAAATATCCTTGCACTCCTGAAATGATGATAAATTTACTACATTTCCTACAACTATAATTAGACATAAAAAGTTCTAACCTATCATTAAAACAGATACAGTTCATGCAACCAAACACATTTTGTCTGACTTGGTATCGATCACAGTCAGATCTCATTCACAGAGAAAATCAACATGTTAAATGAATAATTAAAGAAAGAAAAGATTTGAAGTCAGTGAAATGATCTTTGATGTGTCCATCCTTAAAACTTTCTGTATGATGCATTAGAGTATAAACTAATTGTATCAATAATCAATAAAAATCTATAAAAAAAGCCAATTGTAAGTTCTTAATTGTCTTGAATTCAATAACATCTTTTTAAGTATTATGATATATAGATATAATGGGCCAGCTGAGGTAACCACCTCCGGGTGCGGAATTTTCTCGCTCCATTGAAGACCCATTGATGGCATTCGGCTGTTGTCTGCTCTTTGGTCGGGTTGTTGTCTCTTTGACATATTCCTCATTTCCATTGTTGTCTCTTTGACATATTCCTCATTTCCATTCTCAATTTAATAAGAAGATGTGGTATGAGTGCCAATGAGACAACTCTCCTTCCAAGTCACAATTTATAAAAGTAAACCATTATAGGTCAAAGTAAGGTCTTCAACACGGAGCCTTGGCTCACACTGCACAGTACGCTATAAAGGGCCCCAAAAATGACTAGTGTAAAACCATTCAAACGGGAAAACCAACGGTCTAATCTATATAAAAATGGGAAACGAGAAACACTTATGAACCACATCAACAAACTACATAGTAATGGTTGTTCACATTATGATGTATGCTGTTGCAAAGCATGGTTAGTGCTAACCATTACCCTTCCCATTAACAACAAAAACCTAAAAACACAACTTCTAAGCTGAAGAAGTAATCCCTCTACTACAGCTATTATCAAATCTGCTACCAATAGCTTTTTATTGTTCTATTGTTATCAAAACAGTAACTATAGCAATATAAAACCACAATGAATGTTGTTTTCAAACTGCAAATGCAATTGATAAAGGAAAAAAGTTTTACACTAAAAAGAAGGCTAACGCTATATTGCTACATACACCATGGTATTATTTTGACTAATGGAAGAATTAATTTGGGATTTTAACAGAAGGGTCCACTCTATTATGCTATGTAAAGAATAAATGGTATACAATTATGGAAAGGTCAGCTCTATCATTCAAGCACTGTATGTGAAGAAAGCCTAAATTGTCTAAGACAGAAGTTATGTGCAATGTTCTAGGATGTTATAAGCAAAAATTAAAACAGTGTTGTGAACAACAAGTATTATGTGCAAACACAATCTTTAAAATTCAAACAAAATTAAGGTTAGAGTGATACAGCTAAAATTGTAATGACAGCTGATTTTTTTTTATTTTCTTGTGAAATGCCAGATGAAAGTGTATGTAGACCACTTATGGAATGTGCTGAGGAAGCCATTAGTGGCTTGGTGACTATTTAATTATATATTTTCTCTTCCTGTAATAAAGTATAACACAGTGTCAAACATTTATGTAGAAATGCAACACAACAAAAAGATCACACGTTGTGACAAAAATAAAATACCAGTATAAGGACTTTAATAGATAGTTTTAGTAAAAAAATCTGAAACTTAAACTTACTGAAGGAATTATACATAGTACGTTTGCTTTCATAAAAATATTTGTGATTATATTCATGTGATTCTTACATAGATGTTTCGGCTCATGACAGAAAAAAACCTTCAAAGCTTTCATTAAATATCGTTACAGATAGTTATTTCTCTCAAATTCAATTGCAATTCCCATCTCTGAACTCATGCTTTCACATTATCTAAACCCTAAATATATATTACATGAGATTTTCCCCCTAGTAATGATTTTTTTGTTGGTTTAAAACTACAAAGCCATTTACTGCCTTTATGGAAGCAGTAAAATAATTATTTACACTTATCATGACAAAGTTAACATAAATATTTCTTCTATAGTCATTATTGGTTATTGCAATCTTTATTCTTCTCAACAGGATAAAATGGATTCATTTACACCCATGCATGCTTACTAGAAACTATACTCGTTACCGGTACACATACAACTTACCAACATCTTTTAAATTATTCAATTGATTAATAATACTTTGCATAAAATGTAATGTCTAATTTATTTAGCCTTTATTCTAATCTAACTGCAATTCAGTACCATGAAGATCGATCAAATTACTTACAAAATATGCTCATTTCTAATTGTTGTTTGCCAAAAAGGAATTTTGAAATATTATAAACAGACAAATTTTTAGAAATAATTTGGGAATACAAAACTACTCCTTATACAATCTCAAACTTGACCTTCAGATCTCTTAATTAAAACTGTTCTGAGCTCATCCAGTCCTGATGAACATTATCTGCCTAAATTTGGGAAATTTGATTTTAAATTGAAATATAGAATCTGAGTTTTAAAAGATTTACAGCATTAAAGGGGCATTAGCTGTCAAATTCATGCTCACCAATTTGATTTATAACCTAATAAAACGTATATCCAAATTATAAAAAGTCCAAAATAAGCAATTTACAATGCACGGGCTCGATAATATGTATCAAAATTTCATGTGTATTTTAGTCTAGATGCCATCTAATTAACCATTGAGGGGACCTCCGAAGACTGCCGATGGTCATTTAACCCGATATAAACATAAATATAGATATAAATAGATAGCAAACTGGTGCAATTGGATTTTCTAGGTCTGTTTGATTTCATATTACATGTATAGGT